AACATCTTGCCTGGTGAATTGGATTCCCAGAAGCTGCACAGCAACCACCTCCCACATGTTCTCACCCCGCACCGCAATTATCCTCTATTGTGCTTTTAAAACAACAGTAAACGTCCAGCCGCGTGGTTCGCCGCCGGGAACCATTTGGCGAGTGCATTTTCCGGTCTGTGGTCTCCGGTTCCACGCGAGGAAAATGGAGAACTCAGACCTTTTGGGAGAGTCCATTTGACGCTGTGTGTTTGACAAGCGATCCGGCTTGAGCCGTTGTGTCAACAAGCCGGAGCGGAGCGGCGGCGTGCAGCGTTTCTCGCGAGCGATTGGCGGGCTTGATTTTACTGGGGCGAGTATAGTCTATCTGAAACGGCGAATCCTGTGAAAACTCCCGACCGTGAAAGTGATCGACTCGAGCTCGGGGCCAGATGTGCGGGCAGAGGTGACCCGGCGTGCCAGCAGGTCCGTGTAGGTGCGAAGTTTAGGGAGTTATTTTCTCAACATCTGCGTGACCGTGACGGAGAGAGAGAGAGAGAGAGAGAGAGAGAGAGAGAGAGAGAGAGAGAGAGAGAGAGAGAGTCCAGGGTCGGACCTTTGATCGGGCGTCCCGACGAAGGGGACGAGCGGGCGAACCGGCGCTCTCTCGGGCTCCCGTCGTTACACAAGCGCCGGGCCGCCGCCGAGGTTACACAACCCGGAGAATAGGTGAACCCGGAGGAACCGGGCTCAAGTCGACCGTGACCTCGAGGGAGTCACCAACCTACCGGCGCTGAAACGTCAGATTTAAGATGGACGGCGTCTTGGTGCCGGGACAACTTCGGCTCAGGGAACCGCGACCGTTTGTTTTGCTTGTCTGATTGTTGAGAGACGGGATGAGTTCGGAGAGGCTGTTGACCCCCGATGAGGGTGTGTGTGTGTGTGTGTGTGCAGTTACAAGACATGCAGACCCGCCTATGCTGATCCCAGCATGTGTTTCCTGTATGGGGACGCTTGGTGGATTGCGGTATGCTAACAGCGAGTGTGTGTGTGAGACTGAAAGGAAGCGGGAGACCGAAAGAGGGAGGGAGCCAACGGCATATCCGAGGGGATCGAGCCTAAACCACAGGATATTTCTGACCTCGAGGGCGAACTGGTAGCCAGTGGGAGGGAGGGAGGAGGGGAAGGAAGGAACAAAGACGAGGAGGGAAAGAGGGAGAGGAGCCAGTTCTTCGGAGGGCAGCTGGAAAGCCTCCAGAATCCTCCTCTCAAACCAACCAGAAAATTCCAACTGAAGCCACAAAACCAGACCGAGGACGGACGAGTGCGCCTTCTGCCCACAATGTGTGTGCGTCTGCGGCGTGCACGCACTCACTCGTGTGTGTGTGTGTGTGTGTGTGTGTGTGCGCGCCACATGTGATTAAAGGGTCCGAGCCGAGGAGGCCAGCAGGCAGACGAGTGATGCAATCCACGGAAGCCAAGGAGAGGACACGAGGGCGGCAGGAAGGAAGGAAGGAAGGGAGGGAGGGAGGGAGGGAGGGATTGTTGCTCCTGGGGCTCCAGCTCTCCAGGAATGTGCTGACGGTCATGTCGCGCACAGTCTGCCGGCGCGTTGCATTGTGGGAAGCTGCGCGGAGGTGAGACCACCTGTTTTGTAGCGCGCTGCAGATCGCGAACGGGCCGGGAAAAAAAAAAAAAACTCACACGTTTCTGAAAAGGGACACGCTTGTGTGAGTCACCGCCGTTTGTTTCCCCGCTGCGGGCCGGAGGGCCCGGTCCACCCTCACGCCGCGCCGCGGCCCTGGCGTTCTATTTCGGTGCGAGCTACGCGACGTCCGCTCGCACCCACGCGGGCCCGGCGGGCGAGGGGAGTGGTGAAGGTCTATTTATGAGCGTGGCGAGAGTGGGCGGTCGTCCTTGTGCCGGTTTGCGTGTGTCTGAAGTGCTAAGTGCTGTATACAGTTACAATAGAACATGCACAAGGACGAGTGAAGGTGGGGTGAGAGAGGGAGGTGGGGGGGGGAGACAGGGGGGGGGCACTGGGAATGGAGACGGCGAGTTAAGAGGCCTCTTGGAAAGTAATTTCATCTCTCAGAATGTCGGGTATCTTTTCATCAATGAAAAGGGAAATATTTTTCCAAAACCAGAAGAGGACAAGGGAGAGAAAAACAGCTCAGTTTGGTGAAATGGAGACGACGGGCGCCATTATCAACTTTATCAAGCCCCCACGACCGTCTTCCCCCGGGGCGGTCGTGCCGTTCAGTAAGTTGTGGTGACATTCGCCCATTCGTCCTGCAGGACGGAGGTCGGTGAAATCACCACCGTCGCACAGATTGTCCCCTCGGATCAGATGATTATCTGAACCAAGCACGCTGACGTCATAACGTCATGCGGTCTGCGCTCGCTTTAATTGACCAAACAAGCCAAAGAGAACCAGCACATTTCCACATTAACGGCACTGAGATTCTGCTGCAGTTTTTGTGAATCATTGGTTTCCCCTCTCATGTCCTCATGTAGCAATTGAGGTTTTTTGGGGGGTTCCAGGGACATTTTGGACGCTCTGAATGTGGCGTGGCGCCCGGCCAGCCAGAAAAGGGGGAACGGAGCAACGGGGGAATGAAGTTAAATTGAAGCGTCAGGAGAGCAGACGAATATTTGACTTCTGCCCCGTTTCCAACCTCACAAAAACACGGACGGAGAAGCTTGTTTGTTTACCAGAACGACTAAAACCCCCCCTGCAAATATGCATGAAATCAATAAAGTGCATCCCGGGGTCAACGTAGGAACTTAAAAGACAAAAAGTAGGCCTACTGATTCCTTTTGATGAGAAATGTTCTCTGTTGGACCAGAGAAGGACGCCGCGAGGGTCTGGCATCGCCTGCGTGGTTCTATGAGCGAGCACAAAGCGAACGCCACGGTTCTTCTTCTGTATCCCGCCGTGTCGCTGTGTTTACCATCGCTGGTTCGTCTGCTGCGATCACGAGTCAGCCGAGGAGAGGTCCCGCGGGGACACACGCCGACGGACTGACCCGGCGCCGGCCCTCCTCGCCGCATCCAGATCAAAGTTCCGGGACACACAACCGTCGACCACAAAAAACTCCAGAATCCAGTGTGTGTGTGTGTGTGTGTGTGCGTTTGCTCCGCAGCCTCGAATTAAAAACCCGGCCTCGGGTCGAAGCGTTGTTTTCCCCTCACACAGCGTTTGCCTTTTCTTAGCTCGTCTTCATCGCTGACAACGCGACGGTGCGTCAGCGGGGTCGCCTGGAGCGCGGCACACTGAGGGGGGGGCGGTGGGGGGGTCACACACACGGCCCCGCAGGCATTTGGGAAAAGTCAACCAGCCGGTACCACCGCTGAGAGGAGATCAAATCGGCCACGTTTTCTCAAATGGCCGTTTGACCTTTTGTTATTCCAGTGGCCTCGTGTCCGTTCCTCCGCCGTGACGGCACCGACCTCAAACTGGGGCTGGCTGAACTTTTTATATGTTGCAGTAGAGCATGCATGTGACCCGGCTGGTCATAAGTGCAGTGACGAATGAAGCTGATATTTTATCTTTTTTTTTTTTTTTCGTTTCTGTGAGCCAGACCTTTGTGGAACACAGAGTCCTTTATTCAAATATGGGGGCGAAAAGCTTTTGGGCTTGTCAGCCTGGAGCAAATAGTGTTTTCATTCCTCTAATTTCATGTCTAATGTTTTGCATTATTGGCAATATAATGAGAATCAATTCGTTTCACTAGTCAAATTCATTTGCATATAATTCAGTACGCCAATAAACTCTAGGCTTATTTTCATGGTAAGGTTGGAATCATATCAATATCTATGCAAATACTTGATGATTCTCATGAGCACACACGTTACAGATCATTACATACGCAGATGTTGTGTCTTTAAATATTAAGTTCAACCAGCAGGGACCATTTTTATGCAAAGTGTAATCGTTAAAACATGGCATCGTGTGTGTACAGTCCCAGGCAAATGTTTGGACACATTTTCTCTTTTAATTTAATGACAAAGTGTGTCCAAATCTTTGACTGGTACTGTGCGTGTGTGTGTGTGTGTGCGTGTGTGTGTGTGTGCAGAGGAGCACTGTAATAAAAGCCAGGCGAACACAGTGTTCCAGGTCAGAGCCGAAGTCTGCAGAGCTTTCGGCTCGGAGAGCAGCATGAGTCACCGGAAGAGAGCAGATTGCTAGCTTGCAGAATTCATTAAGACAAATGTAAGGTATATGGATTTCCTCTGGAAGAAGAAAAGCTTGGCTGCTGCAGAACGGCACCCTGGTGAATCCTCAAGTAGCTTTCCATACACCTTTGGGACGACAGCATACTTTTGCAACTATGCGGATGATTTTTACTAGTCTAAATGTAAAATAATAAGCTTAAATCCTTTGGTGCGTTGGCCTTTTTTCTCTTTATAATTTCTGAAAGCACTCGTAATGCAAATTCAACACACCGGTTAGTTACTTAAGCACTACTTTTTAAATGGCTGGTTTCATACATAATGACTACTAATTCTGTCATAAAAATGCAGGATAAAATGCTGATTTTGGATGTTAAAGATGCAGGTTAATCTTTTTAAAATCAACTGGCTGTGTACGGCGCGTGGACCCCACTGTGCGGTGGCGCCCCCATGCGGGCGTGAGGCTGTATTACACACATTGAGTTACGGTAACGCCATTACATTTGTAAATCACTATTTCGATAATAATCACAAAAATGCGGCGATGGCTTTATAACTTACCCTGCTTAACGACTTCCGAACACAACTTTAGGGTCTTCCTCTTAGCTCGGAGGTGAAACTGAAACGATAGACATACAACCCATTATTTGTTTGTATTAGTTTGGATTTTTTCAAATTGGTTGAACTGATAAGTAGCTAGTAAAACTACCGTAAAGACATTTATATTATATTGTGTTTTATTGTATTGAGAGCTTTTTTTGAAAAAAACTTCCAATACTGATCTAGGAGCAGAGGTTGTGTTCCGCAATCCAAACATTCATAGGTGACCGCAACATAAGAACGGATCCCGAGTCAGCCACCGCGGCACCGGATGTCATGGAGTTAAAAAAAAGAGAGAGAAAGACGGGTGAGTGATTTCCACAGGAAACTCCTTCCGCCGTGGAGCGCGTTTGTGAAGGGCTGCCATTTTAGCGAGCTTACGGTAAGAAACCCCGCTTCGTGCGGTCGCCGCGTAGCTAGCTACCCAGCTAGCATAGCCTCACGCGCGCGCGCGCGCCCGCGTCTCGAGTTCGCGAGTTCCGCGCGGGGGATCGAACTCGCGTGTTTCAGCACAGCCAACCGGCTGGCCTCGCGTTCACAGTTGACGTTAGCTAAACTAGCTCGTTGGCTAACGTCAGTGAGGCTAACGTTAGCATTGACACATCCCGGCACCGAGCATGATTAAAGTAAAAGCGCCGGAGACGTCACAAAGCGCAGTGCGCGTGGAAGTCAAAGGGGGGCTTCCGGTACTTTATTTTTAAACTAACGTCAGCGAACCGTGCGGTTTAATATCAGTGTTAGCCTTTGAGCAAGGCATCAGGTGGTATCTCTGAAACAAACTAATATAACGTTACGTTAACGAAGAATTTACATTGACAATTAATTTACCCCCTCACCCCTCTTCCCTCCCTCCCCAGCATCACAAATGAAACATGGGGCTTAAAGTGGTCCAGCTCACCTCCAAGTCCCACCATGAAAACATCCTGTCGTCCCTCCATCAGCTGAGGCTGCAGGGGCAGCTAAATGACGTCACGGTGCAGGTGGACTACCAGGGAGACGTGCAGGAGTTTCAGGCCCATCAGTTGATGCTGGCGGCATCCAGCGGCTACTTCAAGAAGATCCTGCTCTCTCAGGACGCCGGCCGAGACAAAGTGCTGCTGTCCAACATGCACTCTGGGGATTTCTCCAAGTTTTTGGAATTTGTGTACACCGGTAAAGTCGAGGTCGTCCGAGACAAGGTCGGCGACGTCCAAGCAGTCGCTCAACTGTTGGACTGTGAGGACCTGTCCGAGGTTTGTGGTGAGGCCATGACTGCTGGAATCCTACCAAAAACCACGAAGAAGAAATCCGCATCAAAAGTTGCAGATAAGGGGGATTTACACGGTGCCGAGGAGACGAAGAAGCAGCCGAAAAGGGCAGTTCTTAAGCGGCGGCTCTCTCCACAGAGCTCCGAGAAAGAAGTCATCCCAAAAAGATTAAAGGCAAAGGAAGTGAAGGACGAAGGACAAGGAAAAATCCTCAAGCTGAGGTTGGCCGGCCGCAAAGTCCTTCAGAGGCGTTTAACTAAGAAAAGCGAGGCCAACCGAGACCCAGCGACCAACGAGGACACAGACGAGACAGCCGCTCCGGCGGAGAAAGGACACGCGCCTTCATTGGAGACGCCAGAATCGGATATGGATGATTGGGAATGTGAGGAGGGTGTGCAGAGCAGTGATCCCGAAGACTCCTTGTTGTTATCTCCGGAGGACGAGGACTATGAGGACGATGGGGAAGATGACGAGGAGGGACAGTCCAAGAAGACAGTTAAAAATACCTCCAAGGCCCAGTTCCAGTGTAACAAGTGCCAACGGACCTTCCACTATGAGAGAAGCTACTTGAAGCACATTAGGTAGGACCACTTCAACATTGGACAAAAATCCGAGTGTTTTTACGATTTCTGATTTGAATCAGCAATACGTTTTGCCCTTTTCAGCAATGGCGGTTTGACTTGAGTTCTAATCATCAAGGATTCACCTGTTCATCATCCAGCAAGGACGGCCCAGAGCTCCTGGAGCTCTGCAGCGTTCAACAAGAGTGGCTTATCTAACCTTTGGCTGCTCTCTCCACCAGTACGTACCATGGAGTGAAAGCAGACGTCGTCCATCGCTGTGAGATCTGCCAGCAGACCTTCGCTAACCGCAGCAACCTGAAGATCCACGAGAAGCACGTCCACAGCAGCGAGAGGCTGTTCACCTGCGAAATCTGTGCCAAGTCCTTCAAGCGAAAGAAGGACGTTGTCCGCCATCAAAGACAGGTGAACGCTGGTGAAGTTTCCTGTATCTAAAGGATATCTGCAGTGATGATAACTTGAAGCGAGTCACATCTAAGCTGCATGCTCCCCCCACCAATGATCGTCTCAGGTACACGAACGCAACACCATGCGCCACATCTGCCCCGACTGCGGGAAGGCGCTGAGCTCCAAGGCCGCCCTGTTGTTGCACGAGAGGACGCACACGGGGGCGAAGCCCTACGAGTGCAACGACTGCGGGTCCAGATTCACCCAGAACTCCGCCCTCAAGATGCACCGCAGGTACGGAGCTCGCCGACGGCGGCTCGGTCAGAACTGTGAGGAACCGTAGGGGGGGCGGGGGGGGGTCAGAGGCTTGTTTGTTTCCTGTCCCGTTTAAACGTACGCATAAAAAGAGGGATTGAGAATGATCGATCTTTGCTAACTTGTCTTTCTACGTGCAGGATTCACACAGGAGAGAAGCCGTTTGCGTGCGACGAGTGCGAATCCCGCTTCACTCAGAAGCACATGTTGGCCTATCACAAGCGGTCACACACAGGTGAGGGGGCGGGCTTACCATTTCAGAACCAAGTTTTTCTAAGTGGGCCTTGAAGCCGTCTTCTGAGCCTCTCTGCATGCAGACCTAAAAGGCTTTTTTTTTTACCTTTCTCCTTTTAGGGGAGAAACCCTTCATGTGTGAGGCGTGCGGGAAAAGCTTTGCATCTAAAGAATACCTGAGACACCACTCCAACATCCACACCGGGACCAAGCCGTACAAGTGCGAGCTGTGTGGCCGAGGCTTCGCTCAGAGGAACTCCCTCCACCAGCACCTCAAGACACACACAGGTAATCGCCGGCACGGTTGGCGCATTGCTCCTCCTCCTTTTGGAGTCACGGTCTACTTTAGCGGCAGAGGGGCCGGCTTCCCGTGGCGGTCCCCCCCCCCCCCCTGAACCCCCTCCTCCCCCCTTTGGCTGAACGACAGGCGAGCGTCCCTTCGGGTGTAAGGACTTTGACAAGAAGTTTACGCCGCTCAACGCCCTCCAGAGGCACCAGCGCATCCACACGGGAGAGAAGCCGTACATGTGCGGCCTTTGTAGGCGCACCTTCACCGACAAGTCCACCCTTCGCCGGCACACCATGGTGAGCGCCGCTCGCCCCCCCCCCCCCCCCCCAATCAACTAGGGAGCTTCGTTAAGGACTGTTCCAATAACCCGTTTTTCCTTTTACACATTCAGATCCATGACTCGGATGCTCCCTGGAAAAACTACCTCGTGGTGCTGGAGGGAAACGTGGAAGACAAGAAACCCAAACCCCCCACTAAGGGAAAGACGGATAAGGCAGAAGTAAAGGAGAAAAGGGGCGGGGTCAGAAAAAGTGCTGCGGTGGCAGGCGCCGCTGATAAAACCCACACGGACTCCTTTGCGGCGCCGTCCGACCCGGTCGCCCTCCCGGTGGAATGGACCGGTCAGGGGGCCGTCGCTCTGGTGAGCCACGACACCCTCGGCAGGATCACGGTGTTTCACACAGAGATGCTTCCCGGGACCCGGATCCAGCCCGTCGGGACCACCGACAGCGCGGGGGCCAGCGTCGTCTCTTTGGACGGAGCGGCCGTCCCCGTCTCCCTCTCCAGCCCGGTGTCCGTGGCGCACATCGTCCCCTCCTCCCTCTGTCCGCCGCCCCCCTCGGATCCCGTTTCCGACGGCGAGTTGCCGCCGCTCCCCGCGATCCGGATCGTGTCGACGTCGTCCGTCCTGGAGGCGGCTGCCTCGCAGACCATTCTGGCTCCGGTCTGGCAGCCTGCGGCCGCCGTCGAGGACGCCGTCTCGCAGTCTGACATCCAGACCGTGATCGTTGGCGCCAATGATTCTGGAGCGGAAGCGACTGCCGCCATCCTGAGTGATGAAGAGGAGAAGGCAGCGGAGGAGCCCTCGGGCCAACCTGAAGGGGCCGAAGAAGCTGTGTAGGAAATGCTCCTGGATGAATGTTGTATCATGTACATACTTCTGCAGTTGCGGTGTGTGAATGTGGGATCGACCACGTTACAAACTCCGTTTCATGGACACACTTGATGTGCTTCTCGCACTCCATTGAAACAACAATAATAAAAGGTATTGGTGATTAACGGAGGACTCGCGTTGGTCTGGATGTACAAGTTGAAGTTGTGTAGATCCTTTAAACGTTCTGTTGTCAGGGACCAAGTAGCCACAGCTGTGTCTCAGACTGTCCCCGCCCAGCTGTTGAGAGTGGAAAAGCTCAATCGTAAAGTAGACGTGACACCGTAATTAATCCGATCAATGGGACGTGTCCGGTTGCTGTGTGACAGGGAGGCAGATTTACTGCAGTGAAGGAAATGGATCAATATAAAAAAAACTACAGGGAGCCAGTAGGAGGATTATTCTATTATTATATCAATCAATTCAAACTATAGAACAGAAGTCCTATGTTAATATGTTCACCTTCAAATATGTGTGATGCATTAATAATGGAGTGGCAGTAAACTTTAAATGCTAGCGTACTTTTACCAGTCAGTTTCCACCCCTAGAATAACAAATGATGCACATGTGACAAGTTAAATTTAGAGGCGCTTCCACCGATCGTTACAAATCGCGTAAATGACTTAATGTTGTGAGACAATAAAAGCATAATAAATTAAACATTGCTTTTTTGCGTTAATCAAAAGCAGGACAGCAGAGCCGGGATATAATATCTTTATTACTGTCCACTAGCACGCAGCTCCCATCCAGTCCACCGCCGTCCCTTCAGGAGGAAGAAGCTGGACACGCAGGGCGACGGCCCCTTTGGTAAAACCTTTGGTCTGTCTCACGCTAGTGAATGGAACGACGCTAATCTCTACACAACGACATGCTTAGCGACCGGCGTAGGAACCCTTCGCTGGGACGTTCACGTCCCGGCACGAGATGAGTGACTAATGATGCAACTTATCCAGAGATTACTGCCCCGGAGACAACGAGTCCTCATTTTCACATCAGTGCTTTTCATTCAAAAGCGGGCCCCCTGCTGCCCCCCCCCCCCCACAAGCAAACTATAAGTCACAACGTACAGGTTCACACAAAGTATTATTACATCAACAAATCCCAAAGTTAATAGAAATGATACAAGCGTTTAACAGTCTACACTTGGTGCATATCGGTGCCCTTCTTTAAGAAGAGTCTGTCCATTTTGTCCCCACAAAATGGACACTAAATATGTCTGTGTGGCTGTAATGACTTTAGTTTAAAGAACAATCACGACATGGATTTGGGCGACAAACCACAAAACAAAGGTTAAGAAACATTCTCAAATTCCACACATGATGATCCTGTGTAGAACAAACTGTTTAAATACACATAAAACTAGATTTAGAAAAAGAAAAACTACTGAACTGCATCAGACTAGTTAAGCCTTAACTGTACAAAACATGCAGTGCTTGTTGTCCAACGCCGGTTTGAACACAACGTACCGCTCTGAAGAGCCCAGGACGACGTATGCAGCAATCCTCTGGACAGAGGTGAGGGCGGGGGGGGGTCACACAGGTGAGCAGTGGAATATTCAAAGTCATCAGCAGACACTCATCTCCAGATGCTAACACTGAGAGCCGCGTGTGTGTGTGTGCGCGTGTGTGTGTGTGTGTGAGAGCATGCGTGATGGGTTTGTCCCTCCATGTTGAGTTTGTGACCTCCGGCTGTCTTTCATTTCAAATCCCCTTCGTCGCCCTGGATGGTCTTTTTGATGCGCAGCAGGAGGGTCGTGTGCCACTGGTCCAGACGGGAGATCGAGTCAAACTCCTTCACCTGCAGACAGACACGGGGATGAGAGGCCCCCCCCCCACAGGTCAGCGTTAGTCAGACTCTGCTTGCTTATCTTAGTTTTAGGATTCAAGATAACTTTATTTGTCCCGAGGGAAGCTCGAAATGACAGACACAGTAGACGAGGACTCTTCCCTCTTGGCTTTGACAACTACTTTGGGAGCTCATCTTTATATGGACGTGTTCCACATAAACACGCAGTCCTGGGAGACTGAGCTTAAAGCCGCTCTCAACACACAAGGGGTCCAACTAAAGAACCAGAGCGGAAGCAAAGGGACTTTCTCAGGGTCTCCAACACTTACAGCCTCGGTGAAAGCTTCGCTGTTCTGTTCCTCATGAGCATCAAGAAGTTTCTGTTGGGACAACAAAAAGTGGGTTACCCATAGAAACCAAACGGTGGGAGGTCATCGTATTCCAGTGATTAGCGTCGGGTTACCTTCAACAGTTTGCATTCTCGAGAGTCTGAGAAAGCCGGGAACATCTCCTCGTATTTCTCAACAGCAATCTGCGGAGACACAAGGCGTTAAAACTCCAAACCCGACTCGCCGCCACAAATCCATCTACGGAGCCACGGCCGGTGTAAACTCGCCCTGGCGTTGAGCTCGTCCACGATGAAATGACACAGCGAGGCTTTGAAGAAATACTCCTTGGCGCTGTATTTCAGCAGCGGGTTGTCCATCGTGTTGGCTCCGACCTACATGATGCATCCGCGTCGCCAAGACAACGAGAGACACGTCAGCATCTCTGTGCGGATGGAGACAGGACAAACGGGACCAACGGGAGCAGTGCTCACCTGCTCGTAGATCTCGATGGCCCTCTGGTACTGCTCCAACTGAGCACAGTAGCCCCCCACCTTCAGAAGACACTTGTTGGCAGAGCTACGACACAAAAAGGTACACGACACAGACGATAAGGGATATATAGTCATATCTTCACCGTGAATTCATATTGTGTGTGTTTATTGAGTGATAAATGATACAGGGACTAGTCAGTTTGAGATTTTACTGCTGAAAACAGACGTTGACATCACCTGTTGGATTCTTCCCCTTTGTAGTAGTCTGCTGCTTGTTCATAATGTGCAATTGCCTTCACAAAGGAAGAAACAACATGAATAAGGCTTTGTGTTCCTCAAGAGGAACAGGCCCCATAGTGATTAATATAGTGATGGCATTAATAATCATCGACTGTATTAAGCGATATTACCTTCTCAATATCCACCAGTTCGGACTCGTAGATCTCCGCGATGTTGATGTGGTGTTTGGCCGCGATGGTGAACCTTCCCTGGAGGAGGAGGAATTGTTACTGACGGATTTAATCCACAGACGCCCCTCCAGTCTACGAAAATGTTGTGTTATATTCTCTGTGCAAAGTGGGGCCAAGCAGTAGAGTGTCTTCTGGAAAGTTTTAGCTTTTTAATCCCCCCTAAAAATAACAACTATCCAATTTGATCAAAGTATCAGTGTGAACAAACCACAAACCTTTATGTGCTATGAATGTGTAGATATGGGCCCAAATATCACTTATCACTAAAAATGAGAACCTGAGAAAACGAAGTCTGCGTATGAAGACTTGCAGATGTTCATATCTGAACTACTAAAAACTAAGCTATGAAAAATATAACACAATAAACCTACATGTACCGCTGTGACTCAGAACATAGAGGGACGCTCTCTACATGCATCTTACCATGTCTGTGTATATATCGATGGCCGCATTTAAACACTTGATTGCCTCTTTTCGCAGCATAAAAAGGCGAGAGGAGGGGACAGTTAGTTTTGTTAAAATCTTACAGAGCACCTTACTTATGCATCAGTCCGCATGCGGTGTTATTTCAACAGATGAGAGCGACGACCGTCATTCCTTGGAACAGTGCAAAATACGTATCCACAAAATAAAATCTCACCATTGGGGTCAGACTTCTTGTAGGCATTTCCTGCATCAATGAAACTGGTGGCGCAGTCGTGCTTGTTCTGCAGCTGCATATGGAGACGTGCCGCCTTGCAGAACGCACTTCCAGCCGCTGGAGACAGAAGCAAGAAGAGAAGGATGCACACTCAATGCTTACACTATTTCATGCACAGAAGTCCACATTTGCTTTGTACTTGTGACACCTTTGCAAATGCTGCACTTTGCAGTAATAGTGCCAAAAGTGTGTGGAAATTGATATGTGGACAATATCTTTGGTAGGAAAGAACTCATCGCACCGCTCCAGTTCTTGGCCATCTTGAACATGTTTGCCGCTCTGCAGTACATCTCACAGGCTTCCTCCACTTTTTGAGGTCCTCTAGACAAAGAAAGAAAACAAAGAGGAAACAGAACTACAGTTAAATAGAAGGGCTCAATAGTATGCTACGGTAAAAATAAAATATGTCACCACCCTTGAGGTTCTAACTGATAAATACGTTGCTGCATTTCTCAAGAGAGAAGCCGTGCTTTGATTGGTGGATTGGTTTATCTAAATCCCTCTAAACAGGCACTGTAAATCTCCCTCCCTCCATGACAACAAGTGGACCCCAGGGAGCTGTAATAAGACTCTGGGATTACATCACCGCCTGGTCAGCCACAGAATTACCACAAAACCTGCCGAGAGTTATCACGAGCTGCCAAATGGTAACATCTGGGGGTCACGGAGGAAAGAGCTTTGGCGAAAATCCAGAGTGCTGGTTTTTGTATTTGGGCCCCGGATGAAAATCATCATCCCAAGATAGCATTCATTAATCGAAATAACAAGGATCCATCTGCCAAAGGTCACTGTAAGAGCCACCGCTGTAAAGACAGCTGGTATGGACCCATAATCCTCCTTTACTTAACAAATTACGTAATATTATTAAAAGTTACTACCAGAGTTGTTACAAAACATAACAACATAACAAAATCTTATAATTTGAGTTTGAATTTGAGAATATTTTGCCTCGGTTTAATTTGTGTTACACTTTTCCCCTGCATGGTGCCATCCTATTACTTTCCTCCACACCACGTAATATCAATACAAATATATATAATATAAAACATTCAGCGTGACTCCTATGACAAAAGATGCTTTGTTTCCCTAATCCGTAAACCTCGAAGAAGCCCTCGGTCACTGACGTTAGGTGTGTTCGGGTATTAATGAGACCATTCAAATTGAACCTACATAATAGTGCAGTGCGGGAAAATAAATAAATAAATAAAAAGCCACGAGGTTGGATCAGAGAGATGACTTTGCACGTGACGAATTAATTTCATAAATTGAGCTAACAGTCAGTTACGTTAACTTAGCATTGACGTTATATCCTACGGTCACGCTTAGCATTGACGTTGTATCCTACGGTCACGGTTAGCATTAACGTTATATCCTACGGTCACGGTTAGCATTGACGTTATATCCTACGGTCACGGTTAGCATTGACATTGTATCCTACGGTCACGGTTAGCATTGACGTTATATCCTACGGTCACGGTTAGCATTGACGTTATATCCTACGGTCACGGTTAGCATTGACGTTATATCCTACGGTCACGGTTAGCATTGACGTTGTATCCTACGGTCACGGTTAGCATTAACGTTATTTCCAGCAGAGCGTCCCGATCCGCGGGTTTGTTTACAATGACACCAACGGCTAACGTTAGCTAGCGAAACTGACATAACAACAATTGACACGCGTTGTGTCGAGTGTCACTAGTTTAATGTGAACCAATTAACTGAACCAATTGGTGCAACATCTTGCTAAGTAGCACGTCGATAATGAGCGTAATGTACGTGTAGGTGAAGGTCGGCCTACTGCCGGTTAACGCTCGCTAGCGGTCTGTTCTTTGGTGCAGTGCTGTCTTACCCTCCAAACATCCCTCCCAAAAAGGAGCCGGACGACTTGACTTTTTTGTCAGCGTCGGCCATGAGCTGAACCGCCTCCTTCTCTTTCCCACTGTTGTCCATGTCTTTGCTTTAAACGAGAAGAATTTGTGGTGAGACAGAAAAAAATAACCGCAGAGGATTCCGCGGTGTACAGCGAGGATTACAGTCGACGGGTTTATTTAGCGTGGGCGTGTACAAGCTAGTGGCTTAGCCGAGATCCGTTGCATTGTGGGAGATTGAGTTCTTTACGTGACAGGCGTAGTTGGCTTAATGGCAAAATAAACTACAACTCCCAGAAAACGCGACATTTGCACACACCGTATGATTCGCATAGATATATATGTCATAACATGTTATATACTATTAAACCACCATTTATTTACATTTCCCATAAAGATGGAACATTTACTATTGTATTCTATAAAAAAAAATATTAAAGAAGCAATGGTGTACGTCGTGTTTCTCTACACCAGAGGGCGCTAATGGCTAACATACAATTGTTACCATCTGACCCGGAATACTACCGTCATGTAGTGCGGGATTCCATTTAAAACATCGAGTTGAGCCATGTTTAGATTCACTGCACATTACATTTCACGTTACATTGTTGAAATGTTCAAGATCTTTCAGCTGCATGGCTTTTATACCATGTCCTAAAAGTTGTAGTAGGCCTTTTCATAATAGCACAGGTGTCACTAACAAGATGAATTACCACGCACATGCGTACGATGTAGGTAAATAAAGTGAATTGATTCTGAACAAAGCACTAGTGCTTTTGTTATGCTCTGATGAACAATCCGCTGATGATAAAGTAATGATGGCTGTGCTTGACTGAACATGCACACAAAGGCCTGCTTCTGCTTATTAGAGAGCAAGGATTTTTCTCTAAATGCGGCTGTAAACTTCTTGCTTTAAAACAAGGTCTACTTGTACATTTCTGTTTGGTCTTGTATGGAGCTCATTATCTGTCATTTTGTAGGACCAGTTGCTGCTTGCATATTCCACTCTGCCATCTGCACTTACAAGTATTTAGGCACACCTAACTAAGTGTAATGCACTGCGTGTCCGGTTATCTTTCATTGTTAATTGCTCTTCAACCTTGCACCTTCCAAACAAGCTTTTATCCATCTAAGTCAGCCTTTGGACGGCCCAGGCAGATTCAAGGGAAGCTGCTGATCAGGGATAAATCAGATTTATGCTGATAACCACTACCTGCGTGACATTGTTGGTGCACATTTCTGCCGAGTGTGCACGTGTTATCTTGTGTAAACAGCAGTTCCAGAAACAAAACTTGTTCTAATGTTTTGTACAAACAGCAACACGACTTCTATCCTGTACAGCTCAGTTTTCAACACAGGGTGTCCTGGTAAGGGTGCTTTGTACGTATTTCTAGGAATCTTCTCAGTAGAATGCAGTCCATGCCAGATGGAGGAATCAACGACAAACCTCATAGTTTTCTGATTTGATTCTGATTTACTTAAACAAGCAAAAGGAGCTTGCAACGAAACAAAATCTGCCTACGGGATGCAAAAGAAAAAAGTTCAAAAGGACAAAATAAACAAATATAGGTTTTGATTTTATTTACAATACCTTTAAAACAATTCTGTCCTGACAGGGAGTTTACATTATTTATCAGATTCACACAAATATTGAGGCCATGCACGACTCAATCATTACAATTTGGAGTTAAGAGATTGTGTGATGAAACAGATAGATACACACGGACGGTATACAATACATGGATCTGTTTTGCTCGGATCAACGTACAGCATTCCCATTGCATCGTATAAATACATCATATCAAGATGCAAATGAAGTGTTTTCAAGCGTATCGTGCTGATGATCCTTCATGCGATAAGAAGCACGGGTGAGAGTAGGAGAGAAGGTAAGTACGTGTTCATTCTGTACACGCATCTCAACTCAAGTCTATTCTAATCGAAGATGAGTGAGGTATTGGTGGTTTTTAAAACAAAAACAGACCTGATTATCCCCCCCCCCCATAAGGCTGTGGCATGTACTGTGTGCACGCTGGCGAATAAAACATTCTTCTGCTTCTCCTCAAATCAAGTAGATATAAGAACAAAGAATGTAGCACATTCAGTATGCAGCATGTAAAGGACAAGGAGGTGCTTCCACCAGTCCACTCTAAACTAAATAAATCCCTCACGCAAGCATTTCTTAATGACAACCTGCACCTCCCCAAATTATCTCTGTGCTGAACCAGAAATAGCAATCGGTTGCTGTTAATCATTGCTATTTGAGACAATGAGAATAACATTCAAGGTAATGGCTCCATGCACGGAAAATAGGAAAACAGCAGAAAGTGAAACAAAAAGAAGCCTAATGCAACATCATCATGTATTTCCAGTTAGACTTTTACACCCGTAAAATATAAAACAAACTGAAAAATTTGAGTCCTGTGAAATGATGCGACGGAAGCCCAATATTATGCAATGTGACAAATAGTTCGCTCCTATTGTGCATGAACATGGCTGTCTTTATGTTTTGGCAAAACATGCACATGTTTCCCGATAGAAAAGTACAAATAAAAACTTGTGTGAAGATGCAGGACTTATAGACGGATGTTGTAATCGAGCAGAGTGCAGACGGTTTAAGTGGTTTCTCTTGTGATTAAGTTCTGAAGAGTTTAAGAAATCAGAGATCTTGTAACGATCTGCAAACGACATGATTCTGTTTGATCATCCGTTCCCACTTCGGTCCCCCAAGACCTCATCCGCGCAGGTCTGGGGTCAGTCATGAGGAGCTGAGGCCGGAGTCGGACTCCACGCTGCCACCGCGTTCCTCGGAGGCAACGCAGGACGCCGTGGCGCAGGGGATGGAGTAGCAGGAGCAGCTGGAGCTGTTACGGGTCTCCTCTGTGATGACCTCCTGCAGCGTGTGCTGCTCCTCTACCTGGAAGAAGTTCTGCTGCTCTCCGAACTCCTCGCAGATACTAAAGGGCGGAGGGAGGACACATCTTTTGTTAGATATGCGAATGTGGTCGAAAGGTCATTCAAAATAAAACAGATCCAGTAACATTTGGCTACTAAAAGGTAATAAACCCCCACTGATGAGTAATAGGGCACCGCGATGGTCATACGGAGTACAGATCATATGGCACGTGTAGTATTATAAAACTTAACTCCTTCTATTACATTTACTTGCAATTGGCTTGGAATTATGGATTTAAAGAACAACATTTTGTAGAACAATATGAAGCGATGATTTTACTAAACAGTAATGATAATAGAGCACTACTTAGTAGTCCAGTCAAACTAATACATACTGTCTAATTGTCTTATTTTCATTTTTCACAAGAAGCTAAAAGAAAAATGGTTGAATATCCGCTGGACAAGATGCAAAAAAAAGGTTTACCAATAAAAAAACATTCAGATCACACTCCTTTCATTCATGCAGCCATTCGAATGGAAACAGCACAATCCGACTGCACTGGTCACCAGCAGGTTCATGCTCCCAGTCCGACCTCCTCCCCAGCGAGGTGCGGTAGATCGTTCCGTCCCCGCACGGACAATGCCAGACTTTGTTGTGGTAAGCTAAACGCTCTGTTCCACAGGGGGCACAATGCTTTTAGCAGAGCTCTGCAGGCGCCCTGTGAACAGGAGCGCCGGTCCGTCCAATGCTTCACGGCGAGCTTCAAGCCGCAGACAAATATTCAACTATATTAGAAGTGCAACTTTTGCTTGACGTTGACATCAGGGTTAAAAAAAAAACCAAAGGCTGTATACTACGAGCGATCAACAGCTTCTGTTATTAAGTATTCAAACAGTCATTCAAATATCGCATCAAAGCAGAGCAGTGAAACTACTCTTCAGTCCAACAAAGAAATCACAGAGCAACGTCCCCTTTTGTAGAGAAAGCAAACTGCAGATCGTCCACAAACACAAAGAGGTGCAAATAATCGTATCTCTTTGGCCTATAGAGACGCCCAATGTGTCAAAATAACACCACCTCATGCATGAAACAAGCACTTCACTTAAGGTGCTTTTTGACTTCAAAAATGCTCTTGAATGTCTTGAATATCATGCCAAGCATAAAACCAGGAGGTTTTTCATAATTCAGACGGTGAGCGGCCGTTAAAGAAGCGGAGGGACACTATTCTAAAAAAATACAAACATTGCGATTGACCAATCAAACCGCCATGTTTGGTCCACTCCTCAAAAGCATCATTGCCGATGAGGAGTCACGTACTGTACAAATATCAGCCCAGAGTGCGTGAACAAACAAAACCAGCCAGGAACCAGAGAGACATTACGGGAGTCTGAAGAACTTGAGTCAAAATATGGCACCAAGCATTCACAAATTCTGCAAGAAAGAGGCACAGTTACAACAACAGCAGCAGCAGCCACCCGGAGCCTTTCAGGTCGCACATGAAGTTACATGTGGAATCTGCAGGGGGGGGAGTTTGGGGGGGGAGGGGAGTCCGTAAGGCATCGCTGACCACGCAGCTCCTGTAAGCCCAGAGGAAAACCCTTCCAGCCCGCCGGCTTTATGTAACAGCGCCGGTGTCACTTTGTCACAGACAAAGCGGTCGATGAATGATTGAAAGAAAAAAAAAAAAAACCAAAACATTTTCATCAAGGGCCGAGCGGCCTGCCGAGGGCTCGGTGACATAACCTCGTTGATAACAACGGCGCTTTGCATAACAAGGAGCGGCGTTGGGAATCCTAATAGGCTGCGGCCCGAAACGGAGACACAACAAGCACAGCGTGTACCGTGCAGACTCTGTGGCGTCTGACACGATAACAGGAACGCCTGGAGAACATGAAAGGCCAGGTGAGTGAAACCAACGTTTGAACAGAGGAAACTGTTTTTTTTTTTTTTTTTTACAAACAAAGCGTGTACTTCATGTTTGAGAGGGTGAGCGCCGCCCACTGGGTGCTCTACGCTGGGGGGAGTTGAGGCCTTGACACCCACCTGTCATAGATGAGCCCGTCGATGCCCTGCTCCCTCAGCCTCCTCCTGTTCTCGTGCTCGTTGTTGTCGTCTCCCCAGCTGAACACCACCAGGCCTTTGGACTGGGCGTCGGCGATGTAGGAGCGGTTCTTCAGCAGCTCCTCGGTGTGGCCACTGATGCCCTGAGGGACACCGGGGGAGGGAAAGCAAAGGCTCCGTCGCGTTTGGATTTTTTTTGTTGGGTTTGTCACAAATGTAGTGGTACCGGTCCAAACGGTATGTGACACGCAGCCGGCAAGCTAACCCGTCTCCATATGGGCTATAAACCCCAAAAAAGGGATGTGATCAGATTCGCTGCATTCACTGAGTGGAGTTCATCCCTTAAAGACGGCTGACGCGGCGCGATGCTCGCACACTGCTTTGCTGTGTGGACTCTTTTTTCTCTGAAGCACATTGTGTAATTTCTCTGCTCAAGAAGTCCGCTGCAACACATTCCAATGCAAGCTGAAAATGTGTGTACGGTTCAGGTTTAGCTGGTTACACATTTCAATACATTAAAATGCTGTTTTTTGTACCATGCTGACCCAGTCTTCTCACACTATTGTACTGCTATGTGTGGAATAAATAAAAAAACAACCTTTATCAAATGTTCCATTGTAGTTCTAGACAATCTGGAGAAGTATTTGACTTTCTGCTCACCAGAATATTCTCGCTCTGGGCAAAACTAATGGCGATCTGAGTGGACTGGCAGCGGATGTCCATCAGGTCCGTGTATTTGTCTGTAATGCCCTGACTCAGGAAGAGGATGGGGTACTTGTTCTGCTTCTGACGCACCCTGAGGGAAACACATGAAAAGAAGTCAGCAGCCGCTCCTGGTTTTATAACTAAAATCTCAGTGAAACTTCTAAAATAAGAATCTAAAATATCTAAACTGACTCAAGTAGCATGAACATGCATTCTCTGAAGAAAATGTCTTTGTCTGAAGCCAAAAGGTTATTGTGTCTCTAGATAGTACGAAGTGTCTCCAGCCTAATCAAACATGGACATCCTTTATCTTCTGCTCACATGGTGCAGATGTCCGGGTCGAAGCAGGAGAAGACGATGCGTCTCTTTCCTCCTTTTTGCAGAACGCAGGACAGGATGATGTCGAGATAGGTGTTCATGTTGAAGTAGGATGATAGGTTGCCATCCCAAGAGCCGTCCTATTGATGAAAAAAGCATTTAAAACACACACAAGTTTACCATGAGAACATTCACACTGAACATCAACAAGCGTGACGACCTGCGGATCGCTTGAGCAATAAATCCTGTCTGGTATTTTTGTGACATTGCAAGAGGAGGATCTCACAGTGTGAACAGCAGTGTACCCACCTTCAACTGGCAGATCCATTTGAGCTCGATGTTGAAGCCCACATGCTCAGGAATAGCCTGGAAGATCTGGAAGAGAGGTGAGGAGGACGCTGTTCATTTTCTGATGACCGTGTGCAGGTAGAAATCGATATATAATGTAATCAGTTGCATAGTCCTTTTTGCAGGCCTATGCATCGACTGATTAGATACACTTTTCTATTAATCATGAGCTTTATGCAGCCATTCACCTGTGAGAGGGAAGGGAAAGGCTGATGCTCATCGATTTCCTCCTCGTCATCCAGCAGATCTGAAGCGGCAAACAGAGGAGCGTTAACGCGCGACGGGCGAGCGACCTGCTGTCTGATTGACAGATTCAGCGTCACACACATCGCTCTGCCGTGACGGAACACACACATTAACGGCAATGATTTTAACTTTTCATTAAGATGTCATGTGCAATTACAGTTCAGTCAAAGCAGTTTATAACAGTGTCACGACTGTTTTCTTTGTATTCAAGTAAAGTGGAACAATTAGATTCTTCAATTAAGATGTCAATATTTGTAATTACATCGTCAAACCAGTTTATAATAGTGTCATACCTCTTTTATTTGAATTCAAGTAAAGTGGAATGATTAGATTCTACAATTAAGATGTCATTGTGTGTGATTACATAGTCAAACCAGTTTATAACAGTGTCATGACTGTTTTCTTTGAATGTTTTGTTAAAATGTCATTAAGGGCAGTCTCTACAAGACAGACATGTCTGCACGCAGCTTTGCAACACGACGTGCGACAACACACAAACAGTGGGGGGGGTCATACCTTTGTTATCTGTTTCTTTTATTGCAGTGGCATGGACCAGCTGTGAAAAACACAAAGCACACAATTCCATCAATCAGTGTTTGGTATCTTATCACGATAAATCAGCCCTCCGTCCAGCTGTAAAGACTCAAAAAGGTTGTATTTGTTGTTTGTTTGGTTATTTATTACCTTCAGAAGCTGCAGCTGATCAAAAGTCAGGTCTTTGACCGGCACCTCGATAAGCTCCAGAGACGTCTTGTCGTTCTTCTGTCATGAAGAGACAAAGAGAAGGAAATTAATTGATTTAAGTCCAATCTTTCCAAACGTGTGTTCGTCGGGTCACGATCAGTTCAGATCCAAAAGGAGAAGTAAACCACGTTATAAGACGTCTCTTATCATTTTACCTTCTTGGTGGATATGCAGCACGTCAGATCGTGGTACACGATGGGAACGGCATCCTTGGAGAGGTGGACATCAAACTCTACATAGGCTGCACCCTGCGAGCACACGATTGAGACCAATTTGAGGCGGAGGTCACGATACGAGGGGAAATACTCACTCGGGCTTTAATCATCTGCGCAACTCACATGCTTGGCAGCGCTTTTGAATGAAGCTATTGTGTTCTCCCGGACTCTCTGGTGCCTGTAAAACACAAATGAAAAAACGATTTGTTGACAGGGAACCGATACGCTGATGTGCTGCGCCTCGGTGACGGACACTCTGTTGCGCGAGTCAATGATTTCTTTGTGGCTGGCGTCCAACAAAAGAGTCAGGGACTCACCTGGCTGCATGTGTGCTGCCGGCGCCTCTGTGGCCCACGTTCAGAGTGCTTCTTTTCTTCCAGTACTTGGTGAAGGAGGAGCTCATTTCACACTGGTAACCCTGGATGGGCCGGATCACCAGGTAGTCCACTTAAAACGGAACCACAAGGCGAGTCAGCGGGTTCACGCGCCACGCGCTCGGTTCGCCGCCAGGCGACAGATGAACTCACCTCGCACTTTCCCAATGGTCTGTCTGGAATTTCGGCCCATTATGGGAAGCGTGGCTACTCCGTAGTCCTTCCCGCTCTCCGAGAAAGAGGAGGAGAGCAGGCAGGCGGTGCCCACGTAACCCGGGAGACCGTCGCCCTGGACTACGTGCTCACTCATGTCCTCCTGTGAACAGACACGTCCAATGAAAACAGGTACCCGGCGCGTGCTTGCTCCTACTAAGGAGGGGGTGGTGGGGGTTTACTGGTTTATCAGAGGTAGCCTTACCTCAAAGAATTCGAAGGTGAGCTCCAGGTTGTACGCGTCCATGCTGTGGATGCTGTACTCGGTCCACTGGGAGGGCTCCAGCGCGTAGCCGCATTCGGGCTGAGAGTGGCGCGACTTGTAGCCGTTGGCGCTGATCATGCTGATCTCCAGAGTGGTGGTCTCCTTGTCCAGAGACGAGTGACTATGCTCTTCTTGTTCCTCCTCCTCGTCGTCGTCTTCCTCCTCAAATCCCTCTAATGTCAGCTTGATTCTGCGTAGGCGGGTCAGATAAAAGAGTTCAAACAATACGTCGGTTCCTGTGGGGCACTGGTGACACCGCCGTGATCCACCGATCTGCCTCATGTCACTTTCGCCGGGCGCTGTTGGATTCGACCTCGGTGTCATCCCTTACCTAAAGCGAGACTTCTTGTATTTCTTCTTGGTGATAGACACCGGAGACGTCTTAGAATAGTGCAGACGCAGGCGAATCTCCGTCTGGCACGTGAGCCACCCAGAGTCAACACAATTCACCCCATCTATAAATAGGGAGGACACAGGCCGGAAGCATGTGAGGACAACGGATCTCCATCAGAGACCTGGTGACAGAAAAGGGCGAACTGCTTGTTCCGTTATAAAGAAGGAGATCAAAACCTCTGCGGAACAGAACACGGGAAGTGACACAATGTGGCCTCTGGGGATTTATATTTCCCAGAACGATTGCGTACATCAGTAAGCAATTTAGTTTTTACGGTACTCTCATCTCATTGGGATTTTACATTCCGCGAAGCTGATTCGTTCTGTAAATGGAAAGATTGCTTGAGTGAACAGTTAAGTTTGTCTAAGCTGGGGGCTTAGTTAGGTTCAAATTAAAAAAAAAAAAAAAAAAAAAACTTACTGTGAATTCCAAAATGTCCGTCGTCAATATTTTGGTGTGACGCTGCAATAAAGAGAAAAGGGGCATTAGAAACTTTTAGAAGAATTTCAACATCAGAGGTTGAGGTCAAATCCAACAAGAGCATTCTCTGTTTATACAGAGGAGATTTAGATTTGCCTCAACTTCACAATCTCAGCAATCAAATAATAATAAATAATCATTCTTAACTACAATTCTGAGCATGGGAATGTCATCAATGCTAATCAGGCAGGCTTGTGATTACTAAACTACTCAGACCTGAAACAAAAACACAGAAATAAAGACTGGGGGCCCTGACATCCGGGTGCATATGTGGCTGCAACAGGTTTACCATTCAAGCTCTTTTACAATGAGCTTTGCACAGTGATGGGGGAATCATTCAAATATGCAGCGTTTTAAATGTAGAAGCTGTGCACAGTGAGAAAAAAATAAATCAAGTAGACACATTATTGTGCATCGAGCTGAATCAATAGTCATTTTTATAATCGCAGCGATGGCCGTCTGAATAGGAATCAAAGCCGTGGCTTTTATCCACGAACGGTTGACAACATCGGCTTACGACATCTGCTGCATTGCAGTGTTTCTTTTACAGCTATTTATTTTATATATATATATATATATATATATATATATATATATATATATATGTATGTAGATTATTACAGCAAGTGGAGTCCCTGCTCTTTGGCAAATTTGCAAGAATCTACAGATAAATTACAGACGGAAAAAAAACACTTTGCCCAAAATAAGTTAAATAGGAACATTCTTATTCAGAACAAAAGAAACTGCCCCCAGTGATCATTCTATAATCAATAATAATAATTAACTACTGAATGGTGCACTGTCTGCACCCCCCCCCATTCCGTTCCTCATGTCCCTGAATAACACGCACGCACACACACACACACACACACACACACACACACACACACACACACACACACACACACACACACACACACACACACACACACACACACACACACACACTTCTCGCTGACCACGTCTGACATCGACTAGTCTTGACCCTGAGTTCTAGAAGTTTTATCTCACAAATAAAAAACGTCCGTAACGCTAAATGGTCCGACAATAAAAACAGAAGGTTGGGTCGCGGTGGGAATTCGCCGTCACGAAGGCAACTGTAACATATTGTGCCAGCGGTGGGAATGGGAGGTGTTCTGGAAACGCTTTCCCGAACCAAACTACGGCGTGCAGCTCTTTTTCTTCTCTTCTCATTCTATACCTGTGGGGCTCATCGTGCGGGGCTGCTGATGGGTCTCCCACATATTGACTAGCACTTGACGGGGACCCCCTGCGTTCTGCAATTCCAATGTTGGGTACAATGTTAGGATTCTCAAATCACATACATTGCTATACGTTTCAGTCTCAATAAAGCCGCTGTTGGGAGTGTCAGAAAGGATTTAGAGCTGGCATAGTCACCAATCCCCATCCGGGGCAGTCAGTCGCCCTGGTTGAAATCTGAAAAGTGGGGTTGTTAGTGAAGAGAGAAAAAGAAAAGGTCTTGAGTTACTCATTGAGGCGCTGTCTTCATCTGTAATAAAGCCATCATCAACTTTATCACCGATATGGCAGCAGCATCACACATCACACATCTGTCATTTACTTAGAACGGTACATGGCTCTAAAGGAAACCAACACTGCTCAAGTCTATAATTATGAAAAACATGATCCGTGAGTTAACAGCTGAATTGCTGCCTCAAAATAAAATGCCACACTAAGTAACCTTAGATCCTTAAACTTTCAAGCTTGGCCCCCGATTCGATGAAGAGATCAAAACCGTGGCAAATGGTAACCGCCTGAAGGCCGATAACAGGTTTCAATCCACAGCCAAGGGCTTTAAAGAAGTCAGACCTCTCCCAAAGAGCACAACAGGAAAACCAGTCAGAACAGGCTTCAGATCGCATGCAGTATAAACCAACCCTTGACCTAGAAACACAAAAACACACCCGTACTTGAGCAAAAAGGTACGAGAGGCAGCACTGTGCCGTCAACAATGTAACAGTCGGCCAAACCATGGAACACATTTTAATAGCCCAGAGAAAAAAGTCCCCCGTACGTGTGGTGTTTTGCTATAACAGACAAACAGCAACTTGACGTTTGTTAGCCTAGCACCAAAAGTTGGTTGATGATTAGCTAGGAGAGTGACATTAGTTGGTGCGTAGTCCGAAAATGTCCCAGCTCATCGCATTCATTCACATTGCTCACGACGTCCACCTCAATTGTCCTCTCTGGCAAAAAGGTGACCTAAATCGGTTGCGTAAGCCAGCATTGCCCTAAATTGGTTATTAGCGCCTCTTCTTCTTTTTTCCAGCAGTCGCCACCGAGCTGAAAACTGAAACGAAAACTAACGGTCGTGCAAAAGCTAAATGTTATTCTGAGAGCGCACTGATGCGCAGCGCTCAACGTAAACAGGTGTGCAGAACTTGACTCACTCTCAACCAAATCAGGACGCTTGATCGCATCTACCCGCGTTAGAAGATAATACTCAGGGTCAGCCACACTAGATTTATCACGCCATTTTCGGGACACAATTTTCTGTCCCTTTCCTTTCAAGGGGTACGCAATCTGGGGTTGGCTATTCCACAACAACGCCCTGAAGGCATGGGCATAGGTTATGGAAAGAGATGACAGAAATCTTTGCGGTGCTTGCGTTTAACTGTATCAAGTCTTGAGAGTTGTACAACGAACTCAAAGTCAGTGGAAGACATAAACTAGTGGAACTAGTTGAGGCTAACATGCTTAGGAACACAGGAGTGTCTGCTCACCTTTGACTGCAGAAAGAAACCCTTGAGATAGCGATACTTGGACACAACCCCTTTAGGCATGGAGATCGTTGTAGTCCATATTTTTCTGTCCGGGGGTAAAACACATACGTTAGCGTTTTACACCGACACAATAGCCGGGAAGAAGAAAGAGCAGGAGTTAAAAATGTGTTTGAATGACTGGGACAACGGACAGGAAATGTAACGTACTCATCGCTCCCATCAGGGAGCAAGACCACCGCATTTTGATAACTCCAGCTTCCCAGGGCTTCGCAGCTACCAACGACTGCAATCACCTCCCCTAGGAAAGTCATCAGAAAGGCCTTTTACATGACGTCACTTCAGCAGAAATTTAGAAAAAAAAAAAGAGAAAATAAATTGTATTTATAAAAACTACAACATCATTAAAAATGTTACAATTCGAAAGACTCCTAACTGCATTATAGTCTAAATAGTGAGGGGACAAGAGTCATATTTTGGCAACACTACAGTTGACAAATAGAAAAGACCTCCGTACCTGAGGACGTCTCGCCTCTGACAGCTAAGGTCACCTGGGTGGTCTCCATGGTGGACGCAGGCACACACACAGCAACCAGCTGAGACAACAAACACATGATGACGCTCGTGTTTTGTACAAAAGACAAAAAACAACAACAACATCCTGCTGCGCCAAGTACTAATAACTAAAAAAGTGCTTTAACCTAAAAGGTAATTATGCTAACTACTTGTTGTTGACACGGGTAAACAGGTTAAAAACATACGAGGTTAACGCTGAATAAAACGTATCGAGACTACTGGCTAATTAACATCACGTAGACGAACAGTTAGCTGGCTAATAGCGGAGATGGCGGCTACCTTGTTAACTTTGGCAGCGGACGTCGCGTTGGCCCTTAGCGGTGCTGGAGGAGGAGGGTACACCGTGTACCAGGTTCAGCTATCCCGCAGAGAGGCATCGGTCTAACGTTACGCTTTGCGACAGCATGAAGTCCAGCTGGGTCACCGCCAACGACACGAAGCCGGACGCTAGCTGACTAACGTCAAATATTCCGGTGGCAAAAATAACGCCTTTCGGAATGGAGTTTTTAACAACATAGATGGTATATTTTGAACTGCCCAAACTGCCTAAAAGAAAATAAACTGTCCCCGACAAAGGAGGCTACGCAATGGGGAAGCTACAAGTAAACAGCAAGTTCGGGTAGCGCGGACAGGGAAACTTCCGGTGTAGACTTTCAAAGTAAAGTCATGTAACGTTGTTTGACGTGTACAGCGGCAAGTAAAGAGAACCCGGTTTAGCTGGTAGTAAACAGTTTTGTGTTATTTGCAAATGCCATAATTTAGCGAGGGAAAATGAAAACGTTAAACGGAGCACTCCAACACCAAATACGTCATGCGTACCGCCGCTGGGTTATAAACGACTAATTTGGATCAAGGTGATACAACGTGGGATTTATTTACGAAGGCAAAGAACTATTCATTTAATAATTTAAATTGCACTGACCGCGTGCATTCACCCTCGTGCATCTGAAATCCGTATCCCTCTCACCAGCATTGGGGCCTTTTATTTTGAAAGTACAATCGCCGTTTGCCGTGACGTGTCGTAACTTCCGCCCGGTAGCTTGGCGAGGCCGGCTCATACCGCCCTGCTCCGGATCCCGGGCGCAGCGTCAGGTCACCGCATCAACGGAACACGAGCCGACGGCGCATGCTCGACCGCCCGAAAGCGGTAAACAAAACAACGGCAATCCGAGGAAGTCGTACTTTTACATGTAGTGCAGGGAGCAAACGGAATTAGGCAAACAAAATTAAATTAAAATAAATTAGACGCGTTTGAAGAATTATTTAGCAACATAAATCCCACACGGCGTCTATTACTGCGGTAGTGGTAAATCAAAATATTGTTGTTCCTGGATCCATTCCCGCCCGTAAAAAAAAACCGCCCGTAAAACATGCAACAGAAATGACTTTGCATCGAGGTCACGTACCGTCAGTAGAAATCGATACGCACGTTCGTGTTGGGTGTAATCACACGTTGTGATGGAGGGAATGAAGGAGTTGTCAGTTTGAGACGGAGGGAGAGTCACTGAAAGCAATGCCAGGAGCCCCTTCCACGGCTGTTTGCCGTAAACACCACAATGGGACTATTCTCCATAATATGTCTCACAATAACAAGTTCTTCAACCGGTTGCACAGCCCAAAGGCAACCTGAACACCTGCAGCTCTTAGCCAATTGTTACTGTGATCATTTTAATAAAAGCAGCCGGTAGTTGATTTCCCACATTTTACGTCCAGTGCTGCTGTGTGACGAGGATTTCAGGTTAATACTTGTTTCAAGAAAACCTGGTGACCCTCCAACGCACTCACAGAGGCTTCCCATCCAAAGCTTGGCCCGCAGCCCCCTCCAGTGTTTGAATGAACCCAACGCAGGCAAGGAGGAGAGAGCGCCGCGGCCTAAACAAGAGTAAATCTAACACCACGGGGGCCTTTAGTTCCCTCGCAGGGCACTCCGTCATCTCATCGCTTGCAACGTGCCCTGTGTGACGTCGTGAAGGAATCAGGGATTAAGGGGTTTCGTCTCGTTTTGGGCTCATGCAGACAGGTGGATTACTAATAAGGGAACGAGGACAACGAGAGCTTTCATTTAGGGATGAGCTGTTTCCAAAAGTCGGCTTTCTTCACTCGGGGGCCCCGGCTTTGTTAATGAAAAACCCGCATGTGAGGACCAGATGAAAGAGCAGAAGGAAACAAGAGGGAGATCTTGACTGCAACATTATGAATATTTCAGGATATTTCTCAGCTGCAGTGCTCCCACTTCAGACTCACGCCGCCAAAACATCATTCATTTGCACGCGCCCTGTTTCTCACGCGCATCTCTGCCATTGTTGTAGGTAGATTATGGAATAAGAGTCCCTGCAGGCTGAAGCAAAATCGCCAGAATTACAGTGGATGTTGTGTCGGATGGTAAAAAGAAAAGAGAACAAATGTGCGCCACTTGAATAATTCATGGTAGAACTAAATCATCATCGTCATAAAATAGTATTGTTTTGTGCAGCCACAACATTGATCACATGGTTGGAGTCATTGATTTAGAGTCTTTTCTAGTGGGCTCATCCACAGGTAATTAGTTCATTTTAATGGATCACAAACTTTATGTGACACAAAAAAAGAACAAGAAACGAGTGAGGAAGAAGGCACGGCAAATAGATTAAATGCAACATTTTAATTCCACACAAAGATGTACTGTATTAGAAAATGATCAAATATTCACAGAAAACAAATAATAACATAATAATTAAGAAGGTAAAACAGCCAGGCTTAAAGATGGTTTAGCAGCATCAGTCGGATCTGCCCGTGGAGTAAAGTTGTGAATTCTTTTTGTTTCTAAACAGCATGTGGAGCCTGACACATGTTTTATCAGAAATGAACCTTTCTGATAATTAAACTGAGAATAGAAAAATAACGGCTGTTGATAACAAAGCTCCTGCCCAAATCTCAGGGACGTAATAAGAAGTCCTACGCGTACAGTCTTCACACAACAATCCGTCATACGGATGAATGTGGGAACCGTTTATGTGCCAAGATGTATTTACTCCCAGCAGTTTGATCCCCATCTGCTGGTAACGAAGACACAACACCTCCATCATGTCCTGTTCGTCTCCCTTTGCGCGCTCTAAAGTGCTTACAATAAATCTCATAAAGTGTCTGAAAGCTGAGGGTGACCGATGAGATCATGTAGATTTCACAAAAGACAAAATAGAAGTAATTCCTCAAAGCTGAGATAAAAATAAAATCCGTGGTGGTAAATTTGAAGCCTTCTGAGAGGAGAAATAACCGAGTTGTCGTCATCGTTTTCCCATTGAAATGCAGATTAGTGGCACAGTGCTACCCGAGACTCCATCGTGAATGACACGTGTCCACGGACCTGCCTGTCACAGCAGCGGAGGAAATGAATTCTGAGGGAACGAGGCGAAGGCGCCGGGGTCAAAAGAGACAGATTGAGGTGGTTTGTTATCTGTGTTTGAAGGAAACACAATAACAGCCTGAGGGTTGCTGCTGCAGCTCTTTAAGAAGATGGGGGCTGTGTGATAATACACTTATCCACCGGCCAAATTTAATTTCCTTCGAAAGAGGAGAATGAAGAACCCATTTCTCTAGTTGTGTGTGTGTGTGTGTGTGTGTGTGTGACCGGCCGAGAGTTAGCAGAAGAATTCTGCGTAGAGGTGGAACACAACAACACTTTGATTGTGGAGTAGTTCTCTTTTAACTGATGTTGACAAAGTGTGAGCGCTCCAGTTCATGGGCAGATGTGTTTATTCCTCAAATAGTGAATAGCATGGTTTACACATCAAAATAAACCCGCTGACGGCAGAATTTACGGCAAGTAAGTCAGTAAATGTACATAAACGTGCTGTAATCACCCTTCGGCAGTGACAGGCTCAGAGAAGAGATACTCAATATTTCTAAAGAATGACCTTTGTTTGATTAGAAACAGCCGTGTGTCCTAAAAAGAGAGGCTGATATGGCTTTAATTTTACTATCTGATGCCCCGTAACAGCAACAGCTACACAGGCACAAGTTGCCTAAAAGCAGTTTGGCAAAATTAGAAGTCACATAGTAGTGGAGGGGCTGCAGACTTATGTAAGGAAACGGCCTTTTATCCCAAATTTGAAGTCTTAATTTGTGTAACAGATAACTATGTTTCCCTTCTAAGACGCTACCTCCTCCGAGACCTCAGAGTGGTTCATCCGTGACCAGCGGGCCTCTGAGGGGCTGCTCACTCTGTGGCGCGTCGTTGCCCGATCCGTTGCCCTCCCACGGGCAGAAAGGCACGTGCCGAACCCAAGATTGGGACGAGAGGCGAGAGGTGATGCCGAACGGGAGGTCGTACACCTGATCAGTTCCTGCAGCGTGGGCAGAGTCCTCAGGGTCCCCTTTGTCCCAGGCCAAGAGGCCGCGCTCACGTTTGGTCCCTTAGACCGGGGGGTTAGAAAGACTATTAGACCCCAGTAACATATAGTTTACCATAATCCATCCTATCTGGTTCAATATCAAACTTCCAGTTCAGCTTACCTGGAATTGTGTTATCCAGGAAGAAGCCCAGAACTCCTCCCACAAACATATTTGTGGTCAATAATATGCGTAACACTTGGTCTACCTCTTTAACACCTGAATAAAACACGAGGGGCCGGAGAGAGAAACATGTAGGTTCAATTCAGTCGCAATACTTTCAAATTCAAATTAAACTCCAATTAAACGAGTGAAGGCAAGCCGTTGAGAGTAATGACATTTCCCGTTAGGTACCTGTTTGTAACAAATCCGGATTCTTCGTTATGAAGTTCGGAATGACGAGTGCAGTAAACATGGAAAAGCCAAAAACAAATATATTCCTGGAGGAGTTCATGTCTGTGGACTGTAAAATGACACGTGTCAGCAAAACGCACAACAGTGACAAAGCATGTGGAAACAATCCAGGGGAGTAAGGAGTCATGTTACCTGCAGGTTGGAAACACCTGCTGCTGTTATGACTCCAAACATGATGAGGAACATCCCGCCCATCACAGGGGTGGGGATGGTGGTGAAGATGGCTCCAATTTTACCCAGCATCCCCATCAAAATCATGAAGACCCCACTCACCAGGATCACAACGCGGCTGCCCACCTGCAGGCACACAAACAAGTAGTCTGAAATATAAGAGTTAATTCATCTCAGTTCCTCTAAATCCAAGTTTAAATGAGGGTTTGGCGGTAGGGTTGGAGGTGAACATCTCCTCTTACCTTAGTGATCCCCAGGGCCGCCACATTTTCACTGAACGACGTGGTGCCGTTGCCCGTGCCAAAGCCCCCTGCCAACAAACTGCCGAGCCCTTCGACGGCGATGCCCCGGCTGATGGCGTGCTTCGGGGGAGGAGGGGCCCCCGACAGCCTGGCACACGCGTGGTAGTCGCCCACAGACTCAGCCATGGAGCACACGATGCCAGCCATCATCCCCAACACGCCCGCCAGGCTGACAGCTGGCATGCCCCACTGGCCTGTTCAGCAACCGCAAAGTATTGGCTCTTGAATTGGCCTACGAGTGCATCTGAAGACCTCCACCTTCCCATAACTCCTTGACGCTTGAGGTATGTTGGTGGTGTTCCTGTGGACCTACCGGGATAAGGTAACGTGAACCAGGAAGCCTGGTTCACCACATCTCCCTTCACATCGGTGCGCGCCAGGTAGCCGTACTGCGCCGGATCAGACGGCAGGACGTCCGAGATTGTGAGGAGGTAGCAGACAAACCATGACGCCGCAATGCCCAGCAGAATCTAACAAGACATCTTACATTAGTGATAGCCAATTTCCAACGAACCCAAAAAAACAAACATACAACAACAATTTCCACACAACCCACAGGCATTGTCTGGAAGATGTACAACTTTGAGGAGTGCAGTTTCTTGGCTCGGCTGTATGCAGGAACGGGGATTGGTGTGCGACGGAGGTACTGGGAGAACAGGACAATCAGCACCGTGGTCCTGTGTGTAAGAAATGATGGACTAATATCAGGCTAGAAGCAGGCAGGTGACAACACCACGTCCACTGAAGGAATATGCTGCTGGTTCACACGGTGAAGACATCTCGCCTCCAACTGGGCAAAGAGGCGTTTACCGATGCTTCACGTACATAGCAGAGATGCCCCAGTGGCTGCCGACCTTGGCTCCGACCGAATCGTACAGTGACAGGCCTATGAGAGAGACTGTGGGGGCAATGGTTAAGGGGCCAACGAAGCGCATGAGGAAGCCGACGAGGCCAGAGAAACCGATCAGGATCTGGAGCAGAGAGGCCACCATGATGGAGCCCTGCAGCTGTGCACAGCACCAAAATAATCAAGATAATTCGCATCAATGTCACCACTCTCTCTCTCCTTCTTAGAGCAACAGACCACAACCCCAACATGATGGATTACTTTCCAGTGAGGAAAGCAAAGCTGAATTAATCATGAGCTCTACGGAGGTGCTGTTTCACGTCAGCGGTCCGTTGAAGGCGCGTCGCTTGTGGCGGCTCACAGTTCTTAAGCGGGTCAGCCACACTTCTACGAAGAGAGGGGAGGAGGTGTTGACCAGACTGGCGTTCTGTGTCCATGTTGGGCACTTCCACTCTGGCATGGACAACATGGCCATAGACGGGGTCAACAAAGCAAAGGTGGCCCCCTGCAGGATGGGAAGCCTACAAGTGTGACGGAAACAGAAACAGGTCCATCAGATAAAAGCATTTCACCCGTTCTAATGCAAGAGATGAATGAAACAGCTCATTAGGCAACTGGTGAGCTGGCATTCACTGGACATTTACCAAAACCTTATGTCAAATGACACTAATACGTTATTCTACAATGTATTCATGCGAACATCCCAAACTGAAGAAAATAATTACATACAAAACACCATAACAATCGCACATGGTGCTCACACATCTCCATCCTGGTGAAAAAAGCACCACAATTATCATATATATAGTATTTCTTGAGAAAAGATTCCTGTGCCAGAGGAGCCATAGATAGCCTCCTGCTTGGAGATATTGAAAACTGGCGTGTGATGTATCGTACAAGAGGGCTCCTGTGATTAAAACCACCCAGACATCGTCAAACATCGTTTGATACCCATCTGCCGAACATCAACCCAAAGGATATTAAAAGACTACATTTCCTCCACAGGCACAACCTGTTCAACCTGCAGTTCTCTTACAATAAGTAGAGAAGTATCAGCTGCTGGACCATCACAGTCCGGAGCAGCTCGGTCTTCAGACTGTTAAATCCGTCCTCCACGCTCTATACTTTAGACCTTTTTTGAAAATGAATGCATTTGATAGTGAATCGGATTGAACCATCAAGTAAATGTGGCGAAAAATAAAAACTGCCGTTTTTTTCTCACACGTTTGTTAACATAAATATACCAATATTATGTAATAGACCTGACGCCGAAGGTGACCTGCAGCAGGGTGATCAGGCCGCTGGCGAAGAAACCCGTGTTGATGAGCTGACTCTGGGTCAGGATGTCGTGCTGCAGGCACAGCCCCTCGGAGAGGATGAGGGGGACGGAGGTCATCGCACCAAAGGATGTCAGGTAATGCTGCACGGGAGAGGAACCACGGATGAGGAATCGACCGCATTGATGACACCTCTGAAAACAAATACATAAATAAAGCGTGCCGTTTCCTTCCCCTGGGTTGCGATGTGCAGTTAAAGGGACAGGCAAAAACAGACATGTAACGTCCCTTGTGATACCTGAATGGCTAGAAGAATGCACAGGTACCAGGGGGGGACGTCGGTCACACAATAAGTGGGTTTATTTCCATCTTCCTCTGTTTCACAGCTGCTCCCGCGTGTCTCTTTTGCTCCTCGTTGATCATTGTCGTCCATCTGCAGCGCCATTCAAAACACGTAGGGTCATTTTAAGAGTTGCATAACTTCAAATATAAAATCCCGCTGTGAATTAGGATCAACAAAACTAACTGCACGTTCAATCCTCACCGTTATACGAGATACAACATTAACAGCAGCGTCTCTCTGTTTAAGAAGAAAATACTTCAAATGACAACACGAGACCACACATAATCTACCCGAATAACTCAATGTACTTACATCAAATACAACATCGCGGGGTCCATTGCTTCCATTCCCCGAAGCCATTGCAACTTCACTGCAAGATTTTGGATTGTCAAGGTGGAGTTGTTCCAAAAGGGTGGATTTAAAGTGGAATTATAAAATATAAACTGCAGAGAAACAGCCTGGGACAAAATACAGTAACACATTTGTTCACCTCAGGACAAAGTTCAGCTCTCTTATCAGTTGCACATTATACGTTAATATGTTAGTTATTACTTTGTCTTGGTTTGAACCACAACCAGTCAGCATAAGCTGCACTGAAAGATACAATTAGGAATAAACGGATCGATAGATATATTTAAAATATTTGATGATAGTTTTTGAGGGTCTCTAGGCTGCCTACTTTTGAGCTATTTACATCAATTTAATTAATTCATACTGAGGAGTAAAAAAAGGAAGAAAACTCTCAACCGAGAGATCAGAGGGAACTCTGACGGGTCGTATTTAACGCTTGGACCTCCAACTGTCACATTTGACGAGACATAATCAGGAAGATGGTTAGATGAAGAGATCAAGGCCTTCAAAGGGAGGCTCTGTCCCTCACTCGGATAACTGATCCCATCTCTTTGTGTAAAGCTGATGAGTGTGTCACGGTAGGTGCAGACGGCCGTCACAGGAAATTGTTGTATGCAAAATACCCTCCAGCTTCGTAAAAGAAAGGATGCTAACAATTAAGGTTCACACGCAGCGCTTCCCCTCCTCGTGTTTGGGGAGCAGAGTGTCCAGGTCAAAGTCACCCGTTGTTCCCCCCCGAGGCTCGTCCGTTCTCCCTGAGATGAATCGATGACACCACAAGCAGTTCCACAGGAAAGAACTGGGTCAAACTGACATTATCCAGATCAAAGTACTGGGGAACCGTTGAAACAAGGACGGGAAGGCAGCAACGCAGGAGACGCTCTCTCTTTTGTAATAATGCTAATGTGTGCAGTCGGGCTTTGCACTTAGGGAGTCATTTACTTTCTAAAGGACGCTTTACAGAGCTCCAAATTTTAACGTCTGGCTGCGATGTAAACATCATTAATCCCCCTGCAACATGCTTTATCATTTTATGACCTACAGGCAGGCTGTATTTGTCAATTTGTCGTTTGGAGTTTAGAGAAGCATATAAGCTGATTTGTTGGGAGACGTTGGGTTTGCTGCTCATTAGAGCCCAGACGTTTACTCCAGAACGATCATTTTTCTGCTTATGCAAAGTGTACATGTGACCCAGAGCAATAAACGCATCCTGAGTCACGCTGCGAATGCGCTCGCCCTCCTGAACAACGGCACAAAGTAATGTTGACACATTCTGACCAGTGGGATGCAGAGATGTAGGCGCACGGGTTTTTGAAAGCAGCAAAGAACATTCGGACAGCAGACGTCACGGCGCATGAAGTATTTCTTCATGCAGCAAGAAGCCATCATGCTTCAGTTGAGGGAACGAGTAGTAAAAGACAACAGCTCTTATACGATGTATTTTCAGATAGCTGGTACAATATATATATTTATTTTACTGCATTTGGACAGCGGAGGAGTGATATATACGGCCCTGCTTAACGACCCGTCAATCACATGGTAGACCCGCCCTAAAGCGCACCTAGTTTTCTATTTGACTCTAAATGGAACATAAGTTTCATCATGCTGTATAGAATAAATTAAGTAAAAACATTTCTCAGACTCTCACACAAGCAGACTTCTCTTTGCAGCCCCGCCGCCCCCCCGATGGTCCGTAGCAATTCAACTTTAAAGACACATCGTGCACACAGCGTTCCTTTAAAAGAGAGTCTCCGTGTTTGTGTTGTTGTGTAACAAGGTTGTTATATCGAAGGCTTCATTGTGTTCTAGCCCCATGCGCCATGCTTCCATCGCTTCTGATGAATCTCCGCGGGAACAATAGTGTGCAGTGAGACGCCCGTGTCTCCTCTCAGACAAACCAGTAGAGACTGAATCGGCCTGAGGATGATCGGCCACTTTCACATCAAGCGTGAACATGTTTCTTGCCCAAACTCCTTCTGCACATGTTTTATTCTCAAAGCAAACAAGTGTCAGCACCAATCTATTCAAACGTGAGAAAGAAACAAAAGAAACTCTACTTTAGTTGCCAAACTGCCACTAATCTTTATCCGTGTGAGTGTCCTTCTGGGAGGGAAGAATCAGTGCTATTGATTTAAAAAAGACACTTCCTGCAGAGCAAGGGAAAACACTTTTTTTTTCCCCCTCTGTTTTTGTATCTCGCCATCTGCAACCGAATGAGAAGCATTTTGCACAGAAAAAAAGAGCACACACGATCTCTGAGTTGATTTGTATATTCTTCCCATCAGGGTGTTTTTTCTAATCGAGCACAAAAGGAAATTCAGCAGCTAAACCGGCTCACAGATATTGAATATTTAACAAATAATTTGCACAACAAACAAAACAAGCATGTTCTCCCAGAACAAGGGACAGATGTCCACTTGATGTTGATCCAGTTTCCGTGACCCAACTGGGCAAACTAAGTCCTCAGAAAACAAGGATTTAAACTAAACCTGCGGATACACGATGATATGTGGGTTTATTCTATGAGTTAAAGAGTAAAGGAAGCAAAAGTCAACATTTCATTTAAAATTGTTGCGTAATGTTTTTACGTTTTATTTGACTTCCAAATGCACGATTCCTGACAAAAGAAAAGTAAATCTGTTCCAATATGATCAAAACAAACCAGTTTGACTGACGCAAAGACGGCTTTTCTCGTATAATGTTTTGTTCAGCGACGTATTCAGGAATATTTCTCTGGCTAAAGTTGTTGGTGTAAATGCTTGACAAAGGTCAGAAGGCCTCATTGAATGTCACTTCAAAGTTGCCCTTGAGGCCCAGTCTAAGGTCACTCCAAACAACTGCGTAAATATATCTAATTCTGAACCCGAGGAAGAAGTTAGAAGAAGTAATCCACTTTCCCTCGGTGCTCTGTCACCAGCCTGACTCCTCACACTCGATGTCATCTCCCCTGTGAACAGCGTTTAGCATCAGTGTCAATTTAACCGAAGAGCTGAAGGTCACAGCGGGGGAGATGCCTCCAGGCCGCATCACTCACTGTTAACAAATCAAATCAAACAGAGAATAAGATAATAACTGTTACAGGTTTGACGACTACAAAAAGAGAGAAAAGAGAATTTCACAATCAAACTTGAATATACGATAATGAGTGTATTTCCTTGTTTATTGTGTAGCGGGTATTTTTACCCTTTTCCTTAAGGTATTAAATGTTTCACAGTAGGGGACCGTATCACAATCTCTACATTGATATAGGCGTGTACTATATAATGGATCTTTAGATGGAGATACCGTCCACTGTGCTGAGCAGTGTTGACTTATCGTCCTTAACTTTCACTTGCACAGTTCAGTCAACAGCTAACCCCATTAAAAAAGAGCTGTTCCCGCACTGCAGTAAGGGCTGTAAGAGGAAACGCAGCTAAATACAATCATGTGAACAAAGACAAAAAAAAACATGTTGCATTACTCAAGTTGCACCAAACATAAAAAGTGGCCTTCTATATATTTTATTGTTACCATTTATGCATGAATTGCCCCGTGGCTAAATCCCTGGGAGAGCTTTTCAGTAGCTGCGACAGGGAAACTGGCTCAATAGACATTTTTCTTCCATAGACAATTAACTTTTAGAGGTGTCATAATAATTTTAATAGAGACCGAACCGCTCTGCCGCATTCATAATTTATTCACATTTAGCTTTCATCATTTTTACTCATCTTTCTTTTCTCTACAAAGACGTCATCATATTCTTCACTTTTACTCACATTACTGAAAGGAAACAACTAAAACACAACGTGCTAAATAATAAAAGATTGAAAAACTCTTGAATGATGGCAGAAGGACTCTGTGGTCTGCAGTTCCTCACACACACACACACACACACACACACACACCACAAATCCTCGATTAAAATATAAAAAGTTTCATTTTCCACGTTTCAATTCATGTCGTACTCTGATTTACAACAGAAAGAGGAGATAGGAGCTAAAGGATGTGAGAAGGAGATCTGATCATTAAGGTTTGCACATTGTAATTAGCCTTCACCTGTCTGTCTGGTAATGAGGATCATTTAAATCCTGTAATAAATCAGACCTTTTTATGGGCCATATTAATATTGTGCTGCTGGCCTTTCGGTTCCTATTGATAGAGCACCCTGCTGCTACAATAGTGATGCTAATAGCATTGTGTCCTGAGTGGAAGCCCTCCGTCATCCATGATGAATGAACAACCAAGGAGCTTTATAACGGCACCTGCATGGATCCACGAACCATTCTGCCCTTTTTCTGCTGCCTATTTTCCAACACGGGAGTGCTCCGATTCTGCAACAGAATAAAAGGGGCTAAAATTACTAAAATGCTTTGTGCTAAATGCTAACGTTGACATGCTAATATGCCGAGGTTTTTGCAGCCTAGCTGGCTATCTTTACCATGTTCACCATCTTAGGTAACCGTATTATTGTTTACTAAATAGCATAAAGTAGCAATTTGTATTTGGTAATAGCAATTTATATTTAGTTTTACAGGTAGTTACATTTTGACCTGATGATGGCGCTAGATGTAAATCCCCAAACGCTTCAAAATGTACTGTACTCTTACCATTTCTTATGAATTTTACCATGATCGCATTTCAGGAATCAAACGCTTTCTTTGCTCTGATGTTAAAAACGACATACAAATCAATAATACAATCAGTAATTTAATGAATACATCATAGTATAAAAATTAGTACATTTGAATAATATGTAAGACACATTGTCATATTTTCTTTCTGCTGTCAAACTGTTATGTTGCATTATTTTTTCAGCAACTTATGAAGATGTCCCGGATGGACGGGTGTTTGCCAATTAGAACTTTGCTTGGGATATCACCTCAATATAAAAAGACCAACTGACCAGACAGACGTCGACCAAAGGTGTGTGCGTGTGGCGACAGATGACCAAACACAGACTCCCCTCGTGTTCTCAAACTATCATCAGAGTCCCTCAGTAGTTTCCTAACACAGGGGATTCTTCAGGCACAGGTCGTAATGTAGGGGGGTTTGAGGGGGGGGGGGGGGGGGGCGTCGCTGCAGACACCCGCCCCTCGCCTGTAGCTCCTATATCTTCACAGCGTACTGAAATATTAATCAGGCCTGCCGCAGTAGCAGTCAGGCCACAAAACACACACACACACACACACGCACACGTGTGAGTGCACACGCGTTCTCCAACACATGCTGACGTGCTGTTGATCCTCAACAACACACAAATCTGTCCCTCGGGAGGCTCACTGGCTGCTTTGCATTAGCACATAGTGCTTGGGGTTTGTGATGTCGCTTTATGCCCTGACCGGTAATTATTTCAGTTAACATAACGGAGCCTGCCAGCCAGGGAGCAGATTTATGGAGCATGATATTCTCGTTTTACTCGCAGCTGTTGCTCTTTCTGGGTTTATGGCTTCCAAGACATGATTGAATATGAATTTACTTTGCCATATATAAAGGTCAGTGCTTGCTGTGTAAACCCGCCATGTAAACATTTACATCAACGTGCATTTCTAAGCATCCAAAGAGGCCCACACACATGTATGTACAAAATATATGAGTCTTGGAAGATATGCGATCTCTTGTTTGAAAGAGTGGTGTTTTCAAGGGTTCTTTGTTTCTTTCTCCAAAAGGACCCTTTTTGAAGGATGAGTCATTCAAGGACAGTTGGGAGCAGAAGTGTTTAAAGCTCCCAAAAACTGCCAACCATGATTACTGATGTAGCGCAACGCAGCGTAAAACAATCAAAGTTCTATGAGACCCTCGGATTATAAAAAACGACACGGGTTGTTCTTGAGGTCGTAATGAAAGAATAGGAACAAATTACTGAGAATAAAGTGGCAAAAATAAAAAATGCCATGTCAGTTTGAATGTTCTGAGCCGAGCTGAGCCGAGAAGTCTGAGCTCCGCCGCTGCACACATCCGCTCATCCCAGCTCGGGCATTCTCATGTGGCGATCACAATACTGTTCATGCATTACTCCTTATGCAACGTTGGGAATTTGAAACAAGTTTGAGATGTTCCGATTACCGCCCTTACAAAGAAGTGTTCACTACAACAACCAGCCGATCAATGTCTCCATTCACTAGTTTTTCTCACTGGTGCTGGAGCTCACATGGTCCCATGGGAAACCAGACCGAATGAGCCGAAAGCTAAATGAATTATTGAGGGGTTTAATTCCAACTATTGGAGCTCCATACACTTATTCAACCTTTTCTGTAAATACATCCTACGTTAGTCCATATCATTTAAGCAAACATGAAATGTAGGTCAACACTGCAGTTAATCATCCGGATGTGTTACATAAGACCAAAGACACTATTATGAATATGTATGATTTAACGTTCATATAAAGTATTTATCTGCAGGGGAATAACAACACCATCAACACACTGAACTGAATCAACCTTTCTCCAAAGTGTGGTCGTTTTTATGTGAAAGGAGAGTTTCAGGGCATTGCAGAAGAGTGCACAAACCATCGTGATGCCCCCCCCCCCCCCCCCTACCTGCCTGTCCTCCGGCATGGCACGGCGTTTAACCCAAAAACGCAGCAACTCCCCCGTCTCCAAAAATCGCTTTGGTATGTCCCCGGAATGTACCGGGCCAATAATCGTTAATTCCCCCCCCCCCCCCAAATGTCAACACTGTGGAGGCATCAGATTTCACTCAGACTCCGGGTCCAACGAGTCGTGACATCAACGGAGCGGACCCCCCCTCGCCCCCCCGCTCCTCTCTTTATTAGAGGCGCTCCTCCGCTCCGGTCCTCAGAGCAGCAGGCGCCCGGTCAGCGCAGCTCACCCCGCCGCTCCGCAGGGTCCCGAGCAGTGGCTTTTCTCTTCTCCTCCCTCACGCTGTCCTGGACGCACCTTCAGCTCGCCAAGATGAGACTGATTGTCGTTGTGGTGGCGTGTTTGTTGACGAGTAGGTGACGGTTTTCACGGCTGCGAAGTTTGTCGCTCACAGTTCAGGACCACGGAGAGCTCCTCTACTTTGTTTCACGCGTCCCTCGTGTGGTTAAATAAACGTGTTTTGTTTCTTTTTCTAATGCAGAAAATCTAGCGCTTCCAGTGGGAAAAGCGGGGCAGAGAGAAGATGTGGTATGCAATTTCGATCATTAGAATGAAAAAAAGCAGCTTTGCATGAATGAAGGCAGCTGCATATCTGCTGTATTTGTTTGTTTGTCGCAGGTAACACGCTGCCTGGTTGAAGTCCTGTCCAAAGCTCTCTCCAAACCGGACTCTCAGCTGGACCAGGAATGCAAAGACATCCTCCGAGCAGGTTGGTAGCTCAAAACAGCCGGATTTGTCACTGTGACTGGGGACGGTAAAGAGGCTTATTTAAAGCATCAATGCACTCTTTTAACTGTCAGTTTGCATGAGAGATTGAGCAGATTCAAACACAAACGAAGAAACTTCAAAGATTTTTTCGGTCTTCATCAGCGGTGACAAAATAAAGCTATAATTATTATTACTTCTTACATCTTTCATGCTGCCTCCCCGTTTCAAAAGAGGGTTTTAAAAACATTCACGTGCCTCCCAAACAATTAATTTAACATACATGTTAAACAAGTGATGAATCATCACATACAACACCGGAATTGCCCAAAAGGATTGAGTCTCAGAGCCATACTAAGATTTTTTTTTTTTTGTTCTGTCATAGGGGTTCAACACTCTCCGCTGGACAAGAAGAGCATCGAGGTGGCAGCAACTCACGGAGAGACGGCCAACAGTGATCCTGACGCGCCAAAGGGAGCAGATGTAAAAGACATCGAGGCTCTCCTGAAATCCATCGAGGATAAAAGAGAAATCCCAGAAGACGAGCGCAGCCAAGAATCCTGGAGTCTCGGAGACGAAAAGGAGAAGAGACACGACAATCAGGAGGAAGAGGAGCGGGAGAAGAGGAGCAGCTGGAGGGCTGGAAGATACCACCAGAAGAAGCACAAACGTGGAGAAGAGGAGGAAGACAACGAGCGCAGTCAGGAGAGCTGGGGGCTTGATGAAAGGAGATCAGAAGGAGACGGAGGTGAAGAGAGAGAGAAGCGGAGCTGGAGGCCTAGATACCTACAGAGGAAACCCAAACGAGATGAGGAACCTTTAGGGGATGAGCCAGAGGAAGAGCGTAGCCAAGAGTACTGGGACGTGGAAAAAAGGCATGGGGCCGAGGATGAGGAGGAACGACATAAGCGCATATGGAATCCCACACACCGCTACCACCACAAGAAGAAGCTCCACAAGCGCAGCGACGAACCGCCAGAGGAGCAGGACGACGGCGAACGCAGCCAGGAATCCTGGAGTCTCGACAAGAGGGACTGGAGGGCAGGAAGGTACCACCAGAGGAGACACAAACGGGACGAAGACCTCTCCGAAGAAGCCCGGGAAGAGCCCGATGAGGAACGCAGCCAGGAATCCTGGGGTCTCGACAAGAGGGACTGGAGGGCCGGAAGGTACCACCAGAGGAGACACAAACGGGACGAAGACCTCTCCGAAGAGGCCAGGGAAAAGCCTGACGAAGAACGTAGCCAGGAATCCTGGGGTCTCGACAAGAGGGACTGGAGGGCAGGAAGGTACCACCAGAGGAGACACAAACGGGACGAAGACCTCTCCGAAGAAGCCAGGGAAGAGCCTGACGAAGAACGCAGCCAGGAATCCTGGGGTCTCGACAAGAGGGACTGGAGGGCCGGAAGGTACCACCAGAGGAGACACAAACGGGATGAAGACCTCTCCGAAGAAGCCAGGGAAGAGCCTGACGAAGAACGCAGCCAGGAATCCTGGGGTCTCGACAAGAGGGACTGGAGGGCAGGAAGGTACCACCAGAGGAGACACAAACGGGACGAAGACCTCTCCGAAGAAGCCAGGGAAGAGCCCGATGAGGAACGTAGCCAGGAGTACTGGGACTTTGATACTGGAAGGGAAAAGAGAGACTGGAGGGCCGGCAGGTACCACCAGAAGAGACCCAAACGGGACGAAGATCTCTCTGAAGAAGTGGGCGAGGAGCCCGACGAGGAACGCAGCCAGGAATCTTGGGGGCTTGACAAACGGGACTGGAGGGCCGGCAGGTTCCACCAGAGGAGACCCAAACGGTACGAAGAGCTCGCAGAGGAGGCGAGAGATGAGCTGGAAGGGGAACGCAGCCAGGAGGACTGGGGCGTCGACAAGCGACACGGGGCAGAAGAGGCAGGGATCGAAAAGCGCATATGGAAACCGACACATCGGTACCACCATAAAAAGAAATTCCACAAGCGCGGCGGAGGCTCGTCTGAAGATGACGCTGAACAGGGGGGAGATTCCAAGGAAACTGAGGACAAGGACGAAGCAATGAGGTACTTCTATCGTTCTTCATTTCGGACCACCTCTGCTCTCTTTAATTCCACAAGCACAAAGACTTGCATGGCTCAGTAACAGCGGTCTGCAGTCAGCTGGGACCAAACCAACCTTTGGCAGTGTTCATGTGCTGACATGAAATGTTGGTAGAGCAGCGTTTAATTGGGGTTGTTTTTCAGGTATCTGGCTGAGAAGCGTAATCCCTGGATTTATAGAGGATTCTACCATCCTGCCTGGTACAAAAGGGATTCAGATGAGCACTCTGCAACCTCGAACAAGGTACGCATTACAGGCTGGATTTAATTCAGCCTGCATATACTTACATACACATGTGAATCAAATATTACTTTTCTTTTTTGAAATATTGATTAGCAGATCATTATTTTGCCACGCATTGTAGTTTGTTAGAGGAAAATTCTCGATTCTGCCCTGAATGTGTTCAGATGGACGAACTGGCCAAGTTAGTGAGCTATAAGATGAACCAGCTGGCCCACCTCTCGAACCAAGAGGAGCCCAAGAGGAGCATGCACCAGAGACCACTGACCCTGCAGGAGGTAAGAAAAACTGCAGGAAAAGGACCTTCATGACTGATGTGAGGATGCATTTGCTGTCATGCTCACTTTGTCAAAGCTCTAACTAGACCACTGGCCCGAGCTGAACATACACAGTTATCACCACTGATGTTTATAGTTGCAGTTGAAGACCATATAGGAGCCAGAAAAACAAACTGGCAATACAGAAAAGATTCAGAATAGAGACGTGTGTGTTTTAAATATATAGAAAAAAACTCTTACCCTATATATTTAGCTTATCAAGCATCAGGTGCACTCGGGCATCCTCATTATGGGAATGTCTGTGGAGATGTCAGGCCTGCAGAGCATTTGTTCAAATGCACATCAAAAGCTGTGCAGCTGAGCAGCGAAGCGTTCATCCTCTCTGGAAGAGCTTTTATTGCCCCGTTCAAGTCGTTTCTTTTCGGCGCCTCTCTATGACACCGGCCCCCTTCTGTTTGCACTTTTCACATCAGCTTTTTATGTCTGCGGCAGTAATCACACGAAAGGACCTCCTGATTATGGCCTCCCAGAGCAATCAAAGCCATAATAAGGCCATTACAGAGACCTCCTCTCTGATCACGTTGGAGGAGAAAAACAGCGACGTTACCTAAACGGCACCACGGCTCAAAGGAAGATAAAACAATGTTTATTTAACTAAATGACCAATTCATGCAGATTTTTTTTAGAGTCATCAGTAAACAAGTCCATTTTCTGATAATGTAATCCTATTTTCTATTGCAAGGGGGACAGGGGGAAATAATAAAACATGATTTGATATTACAAAGCTGAGGTGTTCACTTGATGTTTTGCTAACCGTGTTTTTCAGGGGAAAGAGCTGGAAAACCTCGCAGCAATGGACACGGAGCTGCAGAAGATCGCTGCCAAGTTGCATGACAACACAAGTGCTTGAAACAGAACGCAGAGCTTCTTCAAAACGGACCAGCGGAGAAGAGCTGCGTCTTACTGTATGTCAGCTAATTTAGCACGCTTACAGTGATAAAAGAAAAAAAAATCTGGAGCCAAAAAAGCAGCTTGTTTATCAGTGTATTTGTGATATTTTGGTGTTCTCAAATTACTCAGCATGGAAATGGTTTTGATGTTAACATATAAATATATAATATGGACAAATGTGAGATTGCAAAAATATGCATCTGAGATGAACGATTCAAATCATCGTGTTCTGAAGAGTTTGATCAGTCTGCACTCAATAAAAATAAATTATTCTGGGACCAAACAAATATCTCAAATGATTTCATGATTTAAAAAGAAGAAAACGAGTGTTCACACAGAAGTCTCTTTTTGTACTGCGTTTTTTATTCTGTGCAGATACAGATGTCAACCACAGTCAAGCTGCACCAGCAGCTGGACCATCAAACAAATGGACCTTTCTGCAGGGATAAAAAAAATAATAAAAATAAAAAACTAGAAGGTGGAGACCATTAACTTTAAGAAAGAAAAGCTTTCACAGATCGCCTCGAGGCACGAGAAACAAATGTGTTGTTTACCCTCATCGCACACAAAGACTCCTCCTGCAGCTCGTTACAGAATACAAAAGCTAAACTGGCTTACGGGCGACTCCTCGCCATTACGCCTTCCTCCACGCAAGATGGAGGACGATGAACGCGAACCAGACACGGCGTCTCGCTCACACCGGAGGCGTCAAATCAGCCGAAAGAAGTCGATGGCGGAAAAAAAAGATCTAATGCCTCCGTATCCGTTTACGCCACTTTGAGCCTCTTCGGCGCCGGCCCCTCGGCTCGCTGGGCGCCGGCGGGTTTGGGGGCGTCCGCGGCCACCGTCGTTCCCGAGAGGAGGAAGCCCCCGCCGCCGCTCATCAGTAGCACGGGATGCGTCCTGTTAGGCAACACCTAGGGACACGAGACGATCAAACAGTCAGGAGGAAACAGTCATTTGACGAGGATCAGATCTTCTTCCTCCAGCAGTAAACAAAGAGCAGGGCGCAGAAAACAATTAGTGACCCAACGGAGAATGTTTGTAACGGTGCTGATGACTCATCTAATTGTCCAGGAGAAGAAACCTTTTAATGTGCAATAAATGAAGGCCGTTAGTTCTCGTCTTAACTTTGTAATAAACTTAGATTGCCACTGATACACCATCACCATGTAAAGTCTGTCTGCAAAACAAATAGATAAGAAGATAAGGAGTAGTGGTGAAGGGAGCTTTTTATTGGCGCTGAAAAAAAAGACTCATCTGAGAAACATCAGCGACGAGACATCGTGGTCCAAGCGGTGACGGTGAGCACCGTGAAAGCAGCTTCAACAACGTAACTCAAACTGAAGACACGGTTCAGAGGAATTGAAATGAAAAAGGTTTTACCTGATAATGTCTGAGCCACGTGTCTGCGAGCCTGAGGTTGACCGCGCCGCCTTGTTCTTTGAGTTTTGTGTAGCACTCGATCAGCGGCTGCAGAGGTGGGAGGCGGGGAAGAAGGAGTATTTAGAAGAGGACTGCGGATGGACACACACACACACACACACACACACACACACACACACACACACACACACACACCTTTTAGCAACATCAGCACAACAGCGCGAACAAGGGCACGGATGTGATTGTAAACAGATGCACCGATTGCAATTTCCTCTGCCAACTTTTAATATTTTTGAAAGCCTCACATGTCAAACTTAATTGTATTTCCAAGAACTATAATTGACATCAAGGCTCCAGACTGTAAACACTTAGACATTTAAATTGTCATTTGCATAAAAAGACAATTATTTTAATTATTTGGGTTAAATATCACAATGCAAGTCAATGCAACCTCCGTTAAGATCAGCCAGAGCCCTTTACAGCAGGACTTTACCCCGCGGAGAGTCTTAATAGTAACTGTGGCAGGACTGGAATTTCCCCTGCGGACATCCAACGGGACGTTTCTCACTGGAACTCTAAGCAATTAAAATTAACTCTGCGCGGCAGCAGCTAATGAGAGATCCACGCGGGCGAATCTAAGGCCAGTAAATCCCCCCCCCGCGCATCACGATCTTACCTCTTTGTACTGGGAGTAGACCACAAAAGGCCTGGAGGGGGCGAGGAACTTGAGCATGCCCATCAGGACGGGACACGGGTGAAAGCGACTGGCTATAACCAACCTGCACGCGGGGAGCAAACGGAATTACATGGAACCGGTCCAGCATGAAACACGCCGTCAACACTTTGCTATCGGAAATGTGTCGGCCGGTGTGATTCAGCTCACTGATGCTGTACGACAGTTACTGCCGATAGACTTGCTGATTTAGGGAATACTGCGCACATTCATTCCGTCCTTTATGTGGCTGGATAGCAGTCAGTGAGAGAGGCTGATTCAGGACATCTGGCCTCCGTTGATATAAGTGCTGGGATGTAGAGGAAGCCGATCGATACTCGTACTTCTGGCTCGCTTGTCACCTTCGCGACGCCTCCCGCCCATCAATCATTAAAAAAAGTCCTTCATCTTACACTCACTTTTAGACTTTCGCGGACACGCTTAACAGATCGTTCAGTTGTTCATCGCTTATTAATTAAACACAACCGGAACTAACCCGTCGGCATTCCTGCCTTCCAGCAGGGCAGCAGCGGACGCCAGCTTCTTCCTCTTCTCCTCCTGCTTCACCTTTCTTTCCTCGGCCTAAAGACGCGGCACAAAGGAAAGACGTTGACCCCGCTCTTCAAGATCCAATGCGGTTATTAATAAATGTCCCGAGTAAAGCGAGTAAAAAGGCCGTACTTTGGCTTCTATGCGTTTCTCCCGCGCTTCTTTCTCCGGGTCGCAGACGTCATCAGCGGCACTGTTCGTCTCCATTTTCACTTCCTGCGGACCGCTCGTCGGTTCGGTCGTCGGCGGGTCCGGCTCCTCCTCTCCCGCCGCGTCGGACTGCGTTGAATCTGCAACGACGAGGGCGATCATCTACAGCTGACATCTTCCAAGCGTGGATTGTAGTTTGTAAAATAACTTCATTTCAAAACAAAGCTACAACCAGTTAGGAACCAGTAACGGTTACGCGTCTCTACCAGCACTGGCGTCTTTGGGGGGGGCGGTGTCCAGGGTGCCTGCCAGGAGAGCGTTGACATGGCAGACGGGAAACTCGTGCAGCGTATCGTGAAAATGTGCAGGGAAGCCAAAGCTCTCCACACCCGCCCGCACGGGGCCACCTCCCGGGTACATTTGGATCACTGAGCCGTAGCCTGGCGGAGGAAGGAGGAGGCAAATGACGCCACGGGCCACAAAAGTCCAAATGCATCCTTTTTTATATACAAAAAGGCGCTCGCATCACCACGTACCCCCCATTCTTTCCATGACGGATCCCAGCAACAGGCCGGCGCAGGTCTCGAACACCAAAACTTTGCTGCCCGCGTGGATGTTCGCCAGGGTCAACATCTGGGCAAGCGTGTCGTACCTGAGGTGGCTGCGTCACAGGAAAACACACGGATGGCGTCACACGTCCGCCCCGCTCCGCTCCGCCCCGTCGGGAGACAAACCTCTCAGGTGACTCACCAGATCTTCCCTGGTTCCCGGCCGTGGTACATCAAGGCCAGGATGCGACAGGACGGTTTTAGAATCGTTACGATGTTTTCATACCTGGAGAAGCACAAGAATGGGAACTACCGATGAGTCTTATTACGCGTTAGTGTTTTTGTATTAATACTTTTGTGTCTGAAACAAATTGTGGGTGCATCATCGGAAGTGACCTACTTCTTTTTTTTCTTCTTGATGTACTTGTCCTGGGCATATTTGGTCTTCCCTATGAATGTTGAGCTGTTGTCTACAAGCTGCTGAATGATTTGCTGTAGAGCGCAAACATAAAGTCTCCAGTACCTTTTCTGTTACACTTCAACATTTTAGCCAAAAGACAACAATGCGTCTGTGTCACTCAGCAGCGAGCCCACTGGTTCCTTATCATTAGCAATAGACCTCAAATGTGTGATTGTAAGCACACTTCTATACCTGATCTGTTAGACCTTGCTCCTTGAAGTTCTCGATGTCATCCCTGGTCAGCTTCTGGGATTTGCCATCGTCCTGAATGTTCCTGTTGTCCGTGCCCGCCTCCTTTGCATCTGGAAACGACACAAGAAAGGGGGTCGTTCTAAATGATCCTCATCTGGAAGTGTCACACGTGTGTTTGTGTGAGAGAGAGATGAGTGTGTTCGTTTAACCGCAGGTTACACACCGGCGGGGCTCTCCGCGTCTTTGGGCTTCCGCGGCTGCAGGGTCCCCCCGGGCACGATGTCGAAGGTGCTGCCGTACAGCTGCCCCACGGCGTTGTCCAGGAAGAACCACTGCTTCTCAAAGATCACCTTCCTGCCAGGAGGTCACGTGGAGGTGATCAATGACAACAACGCCGCCGCTGAACGGCGCGAGCGTCGCCGGGCGTGGCTCCGATGGAGGCTTTCGTCCCGCGGAGTTAGTTTTAGTTTAGTTTTACTTACTTCTTCGGTACAATTTGCACGGCTTTGAAGATGTCGCCCCGTTTCAACACGACGTAGTCCTCCTCTTTAATTCTGTACGGAGCGTCCTCGTCGACGTTGTCCGCCATGATTAAGCACCGCTGGAGCAGTGAGCCGAGGGGGTGACCTTCTCTTCCGGGTGGTTGTTGGGATAAACCGTTTAGCAGAAGGCACCAAGTTACCCTTGTTACCCCCCCAAAAAAAATCCCGATTTCCACGTGCTAGCCTTCGTTTCCCTAGCGTCCCAGGACGACTAAACGATCGCAGGTCGATGCGAGCGCTGCAGCGTCGTCCTCTGTGATTGGCCGGATGCGCGTCGCTGAGTGCGCCAGCCAATAGGAGCGAAGAGCGATGAGTGGGTGGCAGGTTGAGGATTTCAGAGTTACCGATGAACGTGAATGTCTCTTTCTGCCTTCCAGAGGGAGAGTTTGACTTTCTCCATTTAGAGAAAAACTTGGAACAGCACGAAATAACGACATTATGATGAAAGCTGTGCATATATTTTAGATCAAGTAAGTGAACCAAGCCCCGAAAGGTCTTCAGCGAGGAGATGTACGATGACGTATTTCCAGTAGAGTTGTTTTTAGAAACTCTGTGAAAACATTTCAGCATGTTTTTGACCTTGTTTTTTTATCACTAAATGACATGATACATGATATTTAAAGTTGAGGAATATATAAATTATTGCAACGTATGAGAAATATACCAGTTTATAAACTAGATTTTTATTTTTATTTTAAACTTATAGACTATACATACCGAACTAATTTGAAAATGGACAATGAACAATTCTGTCGTCATGTTAAGAATATTTATTTTTTAGAAAATTAGCTAGCTTATAAACTAGATCTTTATTTTATTTTAATTTTAAACTTATAGACTATACATACCGAACTAATTTGAAAATGGACAATGAATAATTCTGTCGTCATGTTAAGAATATTTATTTTTTAGATTGTATGACACTTTTATTATGTAGTTATATTTAAGCATCCACTCGATAAATTACCTATCACCACAGGAGTTCTGCTGAATCGCTTTTTTGACAGTTTGTAGGCCAACAACACGGCAGATGTGTGACCTCGTGCACGGGCTCGGGGCGCTTCATCTCCCACCAAGAGGCCACAATCTGGTGTTTTATAACGGCCTTTAAACGGTGTATTTGCATGACAACAGATGAACACACGTGAAACAAGTTGTAAAATACATTAAAAAAAAACACTCTTTAATGATTGTTTTACAAAAAGCTTTTTTGTCACTTAAAAAAAAACTGAATTCCTACAAATATCAACGTATCCAAGTTTTGAGAGAATCTTGACTAAATATTTACATGAATGCCATTATTGTTTAGTGCAGGGTAAACTAATTTAACTGTTCACAGTATGATATACCATGACACATGGTCTACGTGTGAACACATTACATTAACAGTTTACATTATTACATTTTCTTTGGCAGTGATTCGCTCAGTCGTCAGGGTTCCAGTAGATGAATGCTGCACTTTCACAACACAGCTACATGCACAGATGTACTAAAAGACCTGCGGGCCTCGATCGTTCCTCATTCTTGGCCTCCGGTTAGTTTGTGGAACAGTTCTTCGTCTAGCGTCTCGTTCTGGTCTTTAGATCTTGTGGAGAGGAAGATGTAACCACCAATGAACTCGTGGACCACCTTGCAGTCGCAGCTCACACAGCAGAAGGCCATTGACACATTCTGGTCAAACTCTATGGTCACCTGGAATCACATAGAACGTATTAATACCTCTGAAGTAACGTCTGTACGGACAAAAAAACTGCATCCCTGGATGAAGAGAAATCATGAGTGGTCGCTCACCTGTCTTATTTCCCAGTTAACGTTCCACTGCTTCATGTTGGCGAACCTCCACGTGGTGATGGGCATACCGGAGGACATGTCAATACGGATGAGACGGTTGTAAGAGATCCCCAGAATCTCATCCTTCTTACTGCCTTTGAACCTGACCAGCAGATGAAATAATTACCAAATCATAATTCATAAACAGCCTTTAGATGTGCAAATATGTCCCTAGTTGTGTGTTAAATATACCTGGATATTAATAAGCACTGTACCTGACAATGTAGTAGTTGATACCGAACTCCGGAAGCGACTGCCAGGCCTGGATGAAGCGCATCTTCGCCTCCATGAGGGACAGCCGTGCTATGTTCTGATGGGCCTCCAGGATTCGTGCTGTTAGCTTTAAAACAATCACCACAGGCAGATTTAGCAAATGTATTTAGTTCAAACGCTCATGGCTGTGCAGCCCAGTGTGCTGCGTGTAGCCCAGACACCGACCTGCTTGGTTTTGTGCTTCTTGGCGTATCGCGGGGAGAAAAAACACTCAGCGTTCATCTCCATTGCGTTGAGGTCAGGAGCGGCCTGACCAGGAGGGGGTGCCAGGCTCTTCATCTGCAGGAAGGACTGGATGTTCCTCACTTCCGACTTGTAGGAGCTGTAGGCCATCGTCTTGCCCTTGGAGGCGAGAATACATGCAGCTTTCCATTTGGCATACTGCGTTTGCTGAAATAAAAAGAGAAAAAAATTAGCTGAAACAATAATTTGTAAAACTATTTCAGAATATTTTAAGTCTAAATTTTTCATGGAAAAAAGTAAAAAATATTAGGTCAAAAATTGTAATGGAAAAACGAAGAAAAATGCCAATATGTAAAAATGTTTTTTTTTTTTTAAGGCGAAATGTTCAATAAAAAAGGTCAATAAAACAGAAAAAAGTTATAATATTAGGCCAAACTTTTTTTCTAATGTATGTCCATGTTAGTTTGGAAAACGTCATCGAAAAAAATTCTAAATATAAGGACAATTATTTTTTTGAAAAAAAAGTCACAATATTAGGTATGTCAAAAAAAGTCATGGAGAAAAGTAAAAAAAATATTCGGTCAAAAATGTCATGGGGATAAAAAGTTAAATATTTGGTTGAGTGTTTTGAAAAAAGTAAAACAAATATTAGTTCGGAATATTTGAAAAGAAATCGAAAAATTATTTTAGTTTGGAAAACGTCATGGAAAAAAACTCAAAATATGAGACCGAAATTCTTTTGAAAAAAAAGTCAAACAATATAAGGTCGGAAAATGTTTTGAAAAAATGTATGGTCGAAAAATGTTTTTTATTTAAATAATTTGGAAAATGTTATTAGGTGGAAAAATGTTTTGAAAAAAAGTCATAATATGTCAGTTTGGAAAATGTCATGGAAAAAAAGGAGGGTCTTACGTTGTCACATCGGATGTACACCTCATTCATCCCGTCGGCAACAGGGAGCAGCAGCTTGATGCCAAACTTCTTCTCTGTCACGTTGACATCAGGGACAACCTCACAACCTGTCGCATTGACACAGAAATCAATTCCAAGAGTAACTTTGGTTTTCAATGTGGACTCAAACTGCAGAAGATAAGCAAGATGAAACAGATCTGTGAATATTATCACAGAATAAAACTGCGGCTACTGTCCCAGTTTTAAAGAGAGGAATGCATCATTTTCTATTTTTACTATGATGTATGATATTTACATAATGTCCTATAACCAATACAGGATAGTACAACCTGTACAACATTCAACTTCTAGTTAATTAATGAGGGAACACTTACATTGAGGGTTATTAATCCTCAACAATGTAGAACATTATAGACATTAAGAAGTGTTCTTATTAGTTTTCCTTTTCTGTATCGAGATATTTCTTATTCCGCCTCGCTATTAGTTATTTAGATATCTACTTCACTTAATTTGCTAATCAAGGCTAATGCTACATGTGTAAGTGTAAATAATAAAATGAGTCTATAAAATCTATAAAATGAGTCTGAAACGCCCTACGCAATTGTAGGTGGAATGTAACTGAAAGCTTTTTATTCCTTCTTCTCCACTGACCTCGGAGGTGAAACTGCTCCAAGGGTTCTCCGCTGGAGGTCTCCTTGTTCTTGTAGTAAGAGATGGTGGTGTCCTTGAATACAAACCAGTATTCTTTGTATGAACGCAGCGTCAGTCTTTTGGGCCTGATTTAAGGCAGCAAGAAACACAAATAAATCGTTGCTTTTCGGCTGCAATAAATGCTTTGACCTAAGACTAAGTGAAAAAGCATGAATGTTTTAGAAACGTTATGAGTGACATTTGTTCGTTCACATCAGCGTGCAGCTCAACGGAACGTTGTTTCTTTGAATCAATTGTCCGACACGCTATAAGCTGTAATGAGCCATAATGTCAGAGGCACAGCTACACATAATCAATTTGTAGAGAGAATATTGTCAAACCCATTTCTATAAATCATGCGAGAGGGGAAGGTTGAAATGAAAGCAAAAGATCTATTTGAGATTCCAGATCTTTCACTTGAGTTATTCATAACAGCAATCCTCATTAAAAGAACAAAGGTGGGTTTACCTAAACAGCCGCAGGGTATCTGCCAGCTCTGGAATGTCTGTAATGTCTTCCTGGGGAGGGGACAAAGAACTATGATTCATCCCGTTATTTCTCAGTGTCCCCGTGTTAAGACATGCAATCTTCTGCTTAAAAAGCAGGTGGTCTACCTTTAACAGACCCCTGAAACCTTCAAATTACCGGCAACATTCATCCCAGTGCGTCACAGTCTATAAAAATATGTTTACCAGAATTCGGTCTGCGAGTCCGCCTTCAAGTGTCACCTCCAAGTTGGACAGGGCGGCCTCGACTTCATCTATCTCTGGCTCGTTGGAGTGGTCCAGTGGTTCGCTCGACAGCGTCAGTTTACAGATGTGATACTGAGAACGAAATCAAATGAAAGTTTTTACTTTATTCATCTTTGAAGGTCTCCTCTTGGAACTGACTGCATTATACTCGGCCCCCGTCTCCGCCTCCTATTCACCTCCGACACCATATAGCCACTGCTATTCGATATAGCCACTGCTATTCGACCTCTCTACCTCTCCACTGGGATTATCCTCATGTCTCGACACGTCCCAACATGGATTGGTCCTAACACGGACTGCTCGTCCCTCCCTCACTGAGAGCACAACACTCGACTAGATCTCCACTCTTTGCTGTCCTTGCTCCGAAATGGTGGAACGAGCTCTCTGAAGACACCAGGACCGCAGAGAGCCTTCACATCTTCAGACTAAAGACACACTTCTTCAGACTCCACCTCCACTAAAACACTAACAAATTGTAGCACTTAAATTGTACTTATACGGCATCTTATCTATAGCAAGTTGTAAATTGGCTTGTTTGAGGAAATTGCACTTGTTTCTTGCTCTTCTGAGTTTGCTCCCTTATGGTTGAATGCACTTATTGTAAGTCGCTTTGCATAAAAGCGGCAGCTAAATGACGTGTAATGTAATGTAATGGATCCAGACACCAAACTGGCTCTCCTGGAAGGATACAACTCAAAGCCTAAGCGGCACATAGAGCACAGATAGTTTAATCCAATTTAACATTGTGCCAATCGCACCGTGATAAGTAGCCAGTTTACATGTGACGTGCCGGAGCTTGGGTCTAAGTGTTTAAAATAAATAATCATGAGGTTTAATTTAGCTGGAGAATTTACTCTCCCTCCTGATCTATGCAGACTTTGATAGCTGTGACGGCGCGTTATTCACCTGTAGTGAAGCAAACATCAGCATTTCCTCCTCAGTGCAGTCTATCTGCTCCAGGAGGATGGACCAGCGAGCTTGTTCGTACAGCTGCGTTATTCTGACGCCGTCGTACTAGCACACAAACATCATACGCTCCAATTTTAGTTCAGAGTCTTGAAATTGAGTGAAAATGGAGCACATTTGGCACCTCTTACTTTAGGATTGAGGTCAAAGAAGACGTTGTACTTGAAGCGCAGCAGCAGCTTTTCTTCATCTTGGATATCTTGCTCCATGAGGGAACGAGAGGAGTCCAACCAGCTGCCGATCACAGAAAAACAGATAATCAGAAGAGCTTGTGGAGCAGAGAGAAAGAAAAACGACCTCTCTCCATCTACCCTGCACTGTAGGGCGCTTTGTCCACCGGCGAGAGCGGCCGGTACATCTTAGCCAGCTCGGCGGGCGGCAAGTTGGGCTGCGATTCGGCGAGGGGGTTTTCTCCGAACCAAAGGCTGGTGGCCGACACCGGCATCCCGTTCTCCGGGTCGTAGGTGGCCGTCATCGTCTTACTGTGCATGGGGCCTTGTTCAAGGAGAATATTAGAGCAGATGGAGGATTAAAATCCAGTTTGCCAAAAGGGATTCAGCTTTCCTTCGTATCGTGTTTTAAGAGGGAAGCAAGGCGCGGTGAAACCCGGGACGGCACCAACATTAAACGGGCAGAGATCAAAAGGTCTTATTAAGGGGGATCTTCATGTTGCTGTGGAATCCGGACCGGATGCGAGTTTGTGTCGGGAGAAGGTGGCGGCGCACTGAGCGATTCTCTCACATCTCACGGAGGGAAAGTGTGGCCTGTCAGATCTCCGCAGCGCTTTGCAAAGTGTTCCTCATCTCTTCGCCGCCTCCAGCAGAAGTAACTCGTCGAGATGAAGATGCGAGCCCTTCTAGGGCCGGAAGTTACTCGGAAAGTTTCACTGTACAGAGATTATTAATATCCTTCTGACTTATCTTTGCAGGCAAAAAGCAAAAAGCCCGGGTCAAACCAGGAACATCCCCGAAGTTATTTGTTAAACATGTCTTTGTCTGCAATGAAAAATATCTATTCAGCTTTAGTTATGCAAGTTTGTGAGTATTTTGAGATCTCAATATAAAGACTTTTAACTCTGGGACCCTTAAATGAACACTTTCATCACCACTGCTTTTTTCTCTCTTTATAGGATGAGCATCAGCCTGAGTGGAGCGAGGTCAGCAGCTTCTGTGCGGAGAGGCTTTCGTTCTTCTGGCGTCGTTGAGAAACGGTACCTGTGCCCCCCGGCCCCCCGCCGAACAAATCCACGTCCCAGATGTCTTCCTCTGCCGAGTTCTTGTCTTTCTTCTTCTTCTTCTTGGACGGGTCGTCGGGAGGCTTCAGCAGGGACAGTTCCTCTGATCTTCTGATGTCTGAGATGGGGAGGGCAGGGGGGGCGGGGGGGCACAATATGGAGGCAAGGTGAGCCTCGATTTTAGAGCGGCAAAAGGGACGCCGCGATCGGGGGAAGAAAAGGGACGGAGGGAACTCACTGAGCATTTGACAGATCTCCGCCACCGCCTTGAAGACCACGCTGGAGAAGCTGACGGTCATCTTGATGGTTTTCATGTTGGGGAGCTGCAGCAGCAGCGGTTTGTGCTGGGGGGTGTACCGCAGGTCAGCGTCCGCCTGCCAGGGAAAATGGTGGATTTTGAATCTTTCCTTTCTCATTGACCTGTAGATCTTTGCTACACAGAAAGTGTACAGCGTATGTGTATAATAAAAGGTTTGCGCCTGCAGGATTGACACAATAGACACTGAGGATCATCACTGCTTCGTTTGACAGGAAAATATGCCCTCTCAAAATATCAAATAGTTATTTCTGTTCTAATTCTAATTACATTACATTATTCATTTGGAATCTACCTGAATTCCAAACTTGTCCAGGGTCCAGTGGGTCTTGAGCAGCCAGCATTTCCTCTGCTCCCACCACAGCGCATGGTCCGACCAGTCCTGAGGAGCCTCTGCAGAAGAACGGATCAAACGCATTTAAAGGGTCTTGATGCGGATCTCTGGCTTTGTAACTACAACATCCGCTGCCAACACAAGCCCTTGCTGGATGTGCGGGTGTGTGAGGGCATGATTCAAGTTTGGTTCGTGCGAGTCTACCTGGCATCACGCGGATGATGAGCTTCATCTGTTTCCGTCTCACGCCGCTCAAACATCCTTACCAAAGTATCCGTCACGCTGCATTAGCTCCTCTAAATGTATGTAAAGGACATGAACTTTGGCCCGCGGGGCCACGAAAGCCGACGCATTGTGGCTGAACAATAGCGCCGTGGCGCAGAAGAATACAGGGCAAACACGGGTGTGGCTGGACTAACAGACCAGGGGGAGGTTCAAGGCCCCGCGTAGTCCAGTGGAGGCCCACTGCTACACGGGAAACCAAACCAAACCGGAGCGTGACGGATTGAACTTACTGATCTTCTCCACCAGCTTAAGCATGAGGCCTCCGACGTGCAAGTCCCCCTTCACCCTCAGCTTAAATTTCATAGACTCATCTCCATCTTTTTGATCCACCTGCACGGACAGCTCCCAGGATTTCTCTCCATACTCAGCGGCTGTCATCACGCCCCCGTTTCTAAAGAGAAAGAGGTGCACAGAGATTACAGCACAACACCAGGAGTGAGAAATAAACCCCGGGCTGTCTCTTTTTAATCACACGGTCGGGGAAATCCACTACGCTGTGACGCCTCTGCTGTCGTTCTCTTTTGTTTTGCAGGATTAGGAAACATCTGGGTTAAAAACATGAGTCAGTCGGATAAGTGTTTCTCAACATCCGGTGGGAACATCCACATTTTCTTGGCCCGGCGGTTAACAAACAGAGATCTCTCAGTGTTTCTGTTTCAAAGCAGCAGTGGGGCACATTTCAACCGTCCTTCCCTCTGCAGTGTTCTCGATACCGCAGTGATCCTCACAGCAAACGGCCGCTGTGAACAGCGAGGCGTAACTACGGCTCTGGGCATTGCTGGATTGTAATTTGTGGAGCGAAGGGATGGGAGGGGAGGAGGGGAGGAGGGGAGGAGGGGAGGAGGGGAGGAGGAGCAGGGAGGGTACGGCTGTGGAATGTGTGACGAGCAGGGACACGTATCTGCTGCAGGAGAGACCACAACAACGTTTCCACATCTCCCCCTCAATGCACATCACGATCCTCAGCTCGGCCAACCACAAGAGATGTCAACGAGCGCACACACACACACACACACACACACACACACACACACACACACACACAGTGCTCTAGACTGGGGCTATCAATAGAAATACCTCTTTTGTTTGTAGCCCAGTGGAAATGTTACAGTGGGAAACCGTGTAGCCGGGAGGCTCGGTTAAATGAGCGCACGCCGCTCTCTTAGCGCTGCTCCCTCCCTGTGCGGCCGGGGGGGGTACATTTAAAAGTTTTGAGCTCGCATGTCTGCTGAGCGAAGGCTTGTTGAGATGTGTTGGAGCGTGATGAATCTCTAGTCCAATAAAGGCCAAAGTTGGATGGATTAAACGATGTTTGTAACAAGAAGAAAGAAAATGCATTACTACTGTTTTATATCAAATATGCGATAGTTATAGTAATAATAATTATAATGGCTTAGAAAGGTAGCCAGTGGGCTACAGGTGTTTCATTTACAGACCAAAACCACACTGTAAGAGCGGACTTAATATTGGAACAATTGTTTTTCAATACGTGAATGTCAATGTCCAAAAGTAACGTGCATCTTTTTTTTACTCAAAATTCCATCACCCTAAAGCTAATGGAAGGCCTAAACATTTTTGTGATTCCTACGTTTTGGTAATAACAGAATGCTGTGCAGTGTGAAGCAGGACGTAGCATAGCCATAATAGTCCAATAAATTCCTACAAATCAACCATTAACTTCTTTGCTTGTAACAACCGCCCCAACCTGACCCAATCCGAATGGATTTTGTCCTCATCTGGGACGTGATAAGTCTTTCATTCAGTCCCAAACAGACAATGTCCCCGTAAAACCCCCAACACCACGACTCCAAGAACCCCCCTTACCTTAAATCACAGCTTTCTGCTGCTATTCCTAGAAATGTTCTTGTTAGGTGGAAGGAACCGGGAATGAGGCACCTCGGCGGAGGACACGCCCCTTACGGAGGCAGGTGACGTCATCGGAGGGGAGGGGGCACAGGTAGAGGAAGTGAGCTAACTGTTAGCTCTTTAAGGCACAGGTGGGTCAACGCTGACTGAAGCTAAACGTTCGGTATCACGGTGCTCTGAGTGTAGCAGACATTATAAATTGATTGACACGTTTTGGTGAGTGCTGTTCATTACTCATTACTGTTTATCTTATACTGAATACTAAATGATATATACACGCAACTAATGACAGTCCCACAACATGACGAGTACTAGTTAACCTCGGATGAATCAGCCCACACCCTTCGCAGGGAGTGAACCCAGGTGAATCACTCGCGTCGGTCTTTTCCCACATGATGAAATTGCCAATTTATGAAACAAATACGACAGTCAAAAAGACGAGGTGTGAGTTTTGCTTCAGTTCCAGCCTCGGCGAGGGGGCCCATGGGTGAGGCCTGCCACCTCCTGGTCACACAGATCACACAGGATGGTTTTACTTGGCAGGTACTTGAAGGAAATAGATACTCTGATTGCATGTGGACATCTGACTCATGTATTCAAGACCGAAATGAGATTACTGGGAAGGCAGCATAGGCAAAAAAACAAGGCTAAAGATAAAGTTATATCTTATGATCTTTACTGTTTACTTTAATAAATCCCGACCCTGTCGCCTGTTAGCTTATATACTACCATCTTTCTTATTATAGACTTAGCCGCAAATCTGACGGCATGTATCACTTTTTAATTTCTACTCTTTTAAACTTTAATTTCATCTGAATAAATCAACTTATCAACTAGTTTAAGCTTTAGCCTTTTTGCATTCTGCAAGCCTGCATTCCCCTGCGGGGAGACATAGAAAAACATCTGACAGGGTTCCTACGTGTCCTGGAAGACGACACGAACAATTTACAATTAAAAAAACGAGAGAAAAAGCAAACTCTTAGTGGACGTCGGTGCTGGAATGAAGTTGCCGCCACTGTGTGGCGCCATCAGACCACACAGGAGGAAAAGCTCCAGAGTTAGTTGTCACGTATGTTTTATGACACAGAACCACATGAGTACCGCGGTGGAAATATTCATGCCTGTTTTGAAATTAAGAAACATCTTAATCATCGTACGTGTCTTACTGGAAGAAACCAGAAGCTTATAACTGCCACTCAAGTTATCCCAATATGAAAATGACCTTTTAAAGGAACACGCTACTAGAAATGAAAGGCATCTCTGGAGTCACTCTTAGTAAAGGTCATGCCGAACATCGCAGGGGACGACTGCGTCCTTTCACCGACCAAGTGGTGAACTTGCGTCTTTTAAACTGTCCCACCCGGGGAGGAGAGATGGAGAGAGGAAAGGAGACGGGGCGGACAGCTGCAGAAGAACTTGCCCTGGAATCGGTGCGGAAACTTCAGCGCGGCGGCCGCGGGTCCGACTTCTGCGCACCAGTCAAAGGACAGTCTCTTCGACCACTTGACGGTTTTGACCACACCCTGAAGATTAACTGGAGCAAAGCCGCCCCGTGAGTCGCTCTAAGCTCTCTGTTCCAGCGCTGGCACACGAGGTCGCCTTGAGTCGTTGTGTAAGACAGGAAATGTAAATTCCATGACGAAAACAAACAAATAAACCCTGAGCCTCATAAACTGTGTCATTGGTGGACGGACACATGGAAAATAACATCATTTGGACCTGTCAGGCCTGGATGGAGTACAGACAAAGTAACACCATGTCCACGCCACCGTGACACCTGCGGTCCTGCTGGCATCATCGCGCACGCGGGCCAAGCTGAAGGAAAGGACAAATATCCACCGGGCTTCACCCAGAGAACCATCCAACGTGGTCTTTAGAGTCCCGGGGAGGGAGGACAGGAGAGGGCCAGGTTTTTGGACCGTGGTTCTAAACACGATAAATTGAAGCCGGTCAGAACCTACGTGGAAGCGGGTGGGAAACAACATCTGTATTTCGCCGGCTTTCTGTATTAATGGAGGGAGAAACCTCCCGGTGACCTGGGAACACGCTTACCCAATTAGCAGCCTCGCCGACGGATCAAATGGAAGTGAAAACATTCAGTGCCGTGACGGAGACGCATCACAATGCCCCATTCATGCCGCCGAGCCCCGGGAGCTCCGGGGGGGGTGGGGGGGGGGCGGCGGGGTTGTTCTTCGAGGGGATGCAGCGGGGAGGCGGGAGGGAGCAGTGAACGCCATCCTTCTTTGACGTGTTGACGGAGGCCTCGTCCGTGACTTATTACGGGATCGCAGGTCAACACTGTTCAAAGGTGTTGTTTTCATAAGGTGGCCACTGCTCACCGTGGCGTTCCAAGGACCCCCCCCACCCCCCCCCACCCTACACATAAAACCCTGCGTCTTACGCTGTGGGAGAAGGACTTGACAGCTCGGGGGTCGTTCTTCTGTTTCATACTTTACTTTTTTCAAATGGCAATGCGTTCGTCCTTAATCCCACTGACCTGCGGGGATATCGAGAGGTTCCCTTTGAAAAAACTCCCGAAAGGACAAACCTTCACCTGGCAGCTTATTTGCTTTGCAAATGTCAGCGAGATGTGACATTCTGCCTGTGATGAGAGTCGAGCAACAGGTGTGATGGTCAGCAGAGCGTCTGTGACCCGGAGCCGAGCGGCCGACTGAACACAGGCCGTATGTGTGGACCTGCCCAAATATTGGACTCTCTCCTCAGATAGACTGTGTGTAATCCTCGCACTGCAGTGGAGACTCGGTATAAAGGCGCTTTTATTTCTAAAATTAATTGTTTATTTATGAGGGTGGAGCGAAGGGTGCTCCGGTAAGTGGCGTCTTACGTCCGCGCTTGTGGATGTTTCCATTGGAGCTTATATATATATATATATATAAAAAAAAGTTCATGCATTATGAATTTTATTTGATCTTTCCATGCCACACAGCCAAGGCTGATTTTCTCTTCAGCTCCCTCTGCACGGAAACATCTGATGGAAATAAAACTTCTCATGGTGTCAGGTCAGATAAATACGAGGTCGTCAGCTCAGTGTGACCCTGAATCCTGGCCTGGAACACGATATCAAATGTTTAAAGACTGCACTTTTTTCTGAAAAGTGGCTACTGTGAAGCGGCTCGCGTTACAGAGCATCGCCTCACCTGTCACCGGCAGTATTTCATCCCTTTGCTGGCCAGAAACATAAAAGATCTCGATGAGCGCGGCCATGTGGAAAGATGGCGAGCGGCGGATACTCCGTTAGTCCAACATTGAGACAAAGACAGATAGATAGATAGGCCCTTTTTCAGACATTAAGCCTGATGGATTCATTGCCCTCATTGTCAGCAGAATTTACGATCAAATGCTCGATTCTAAGCGTCTCCATCGTTTATTTCATTCCTGTGTGAATATCCGATGCGTTGAACAAAGCCATCTGCGATGCTGTTGAGTTTTATTACCCCTGTCAGAGCACACAGAGGCGTCCTGTTAACGATGAAATAAACGCCTTTCCTTGCGGGCCCGGCGCGTGGATCGGAAAGCGCTCCGGTCCGGTCCCGCGCTACGTGCCGCGGAGCGACGCGGGACCAAATCACCTTCGACAGCGGCCTTGAAGTCGCCGCGCCTGATCTCGCGAGCGCCGGTACGCGCGAGGAAGCAGGGCGTCGCGTTCCTGCCCTCCCCCGGCGTCAACTCGCCATCCGTTTGTGAATGGGGGCCATTTTGAAACATGCAAATGTGGTTCGCCGGTGCCTGTAGCCTATCAGCTGATGCAGGTCGGTGTTGTTTTTGGCCGGGCCTTAAAGGCCCTGTGGGGAGAAAGACGTACTGAGAGTTGGAAAAGGTCGCATAAACTCCGACGGGATTACTTTACCAACACTTTCCATGAGATCCTGTGAATGGATCCATTGTGGGCCGTGTCTGTGCTCGCGGAAAGCAAAACCCTGTCAGGATCCAGTTCATTAGCACCTAGTTCACTGTTTGAAGTCAGTTATTTATCCGGTGTCTAAAGGGGAACCCCTATCAGACGTGTGTGTGTGTACTTGTATAAACGCACGGTACTCATAGGATCTACAGGGGGTTTCCAGAGCAAATTGCTCAAGAGCAAATAAGAATTTCCGTGGCGCAATAAAATGTATGGAGAAGGAACAGGAGGGACACTGGTGCGATTCTCAAGGTGGGAAACAACCTGGAGAACTTTGTTAAAAAAATATATACATAAGGGTTTGATGTAAATATGTTCTGACAGCCACTGACCTCCGGTCTGTAAATAAAAACTAGTATTTCAAGCATAGGAAGTTGCAAAAGTTAAACAAAGAATATTTATATTACATTGTTATAGGTTACAGGAGGCAATGAGATTATGTTATTATAACGTGAGCCATTCGATATGAAATTGGCGAGGTCCTTTACTCGTGGAGCAACCGTGATACTGCACAGATCAGCAGAGCGGGCCTGCGTCTTCTCCTTTGTGACCTGTTTGTTCTCTGGAAGGCGGCCATGTGCTCTCGGTCAGACAAAAGTGCCGCGTTGAGCAAAACCTCCACTCCACTTTTATGGTCTGTGTGGGCCGTCCTATTTGTACATGCTTAGGGCAAATTAGACCAGCAGCTGCGCACGGCCGTCCCGTCCCGCGTCGGCTTTTTTCACAGTGAACAAAAATATGCTCGGGTAAACCTCGCAGCTCGGACCCAGAAATACGCCGACACCTCTCCATGTTTACTATCGGCACTTGCCTCTTCCGGCACGAAATGAGAAAGACGTGGGGAGACAGGATGGAAGGGTGGGAGTAAATGAGGGGAGGGGGCGCAGAGGGACCACCTATGCAGATGTTTTCCACATGTACGGCAGAAGGAAAACAAGCCGAGGAGAGGGGAGAGAGAGAGAGAGAGAGAGGGCTGCACCTGTTGAGGGCCGATGCTCCGGCCTCGGGTGACTTTTGTGATGCATGCGGTTATAAAAAAAAAAAGAAGAAGTATCTGAATTTATTCAGGGGCTTTTTTTCACCGTGATTTGAGCTACATTGAAGCTTGTCATGAGATCACCTG